TGAACTTACAGAGACTTCCGAGCAGGTCATCTCGCGACAGGGTCGGTTGGTATTCAAACCCCACTCTGAATTCCGCTACGGTGGCGCATGCCATTTTTTCCGTTACCGTACCTGGACGGGCTTCCATGTAGCGGAACGAGCTAATAGGCCACCGCTTGGCGTCTCACGATGCGTGGATTATCCAGGTTGGCCGCCGCCCGTCCAAGTTACCCAGAAACTACAGTGCGCCGTGGGGCCCGAGGGGTCTTAACCCGTTGTTCACCACCCTCGGTTGTGGCCACCGAGCAGGTCCTCATCTCCTGACGTTCCCAGGGCGCCGGTCTTCATCCAGGCCGCCCCTAAGACGCAATCATGTGGGGTCATCAACGTGCTCGGTGCCATTTTGGGAACCTGGTGGGCGGGCGACCCGGTGATCCTTTAGGTCGAGGTTATCTTTGACAAGTCCTGGCAGGAAACGCGGCGAGATCAGCGCGGCCAGTGTGTCTGTGAGCTTTGCGACGGAAGAGTTAGCCTACTTCTTTATTCAACTGGCGGATGGGTTGGTGATCTATTGCGGGACGTGCGATGCCCCCGAGCAGTTGCCGCGAGATGAGATGCGCGCTCCGCGCCGGACCCGGGCGCGCGCCGCCGCCGCGCGGAACTCCAAGTCTTGCTGTCGCGCGCCCATCGTGCAGTCGATCTCACCACGCGTTCCTGTTAGACGCCGCGCCAGAGCGAGGAGGGGGGCTGCTTGCTGGCAGGCCTGGTTGCCGGCATCTGGCTCCGATCTCGGGATCGAGGGTGGCAGGTGGTTGGCGCGCCCTCGCGCCAGCAAGGCGCTGCTCAGGATGAGCGGAGATCTGCGTGCGTACTTCCCGTGTTGCTCGCGCCAGCCGCATGTTCATCGTGGGAGGCAAGGGGGCTTTGCGAGAGTGTAGTGGACAGGGGGAGCATGCAGCCAGTTAGGGGCCATGATTACGGCTGCTGGGTTAATGGAGAGCAAAACGATGAGGCCGACCATTCCATAGGACTGTGCGACCTTGGGGATGAGGTCATGAGAATAACAGGTCGCCCATATTCAAATCAGACATCACCCCAGAGCAAGTTGAAATGCGTGGCGACCGCCGTTGCCAGCGTTAGTCGTTGCCTTCCGTAGCACCCCGCAGTTGCGGATAAGAGTGAGGGGGCGGGCGCGGGCGACGCGGGCGTCGTCGAGCCGGCGGATCTCGTGGCCCCCACCTTCCCTGTCGATGGCGCTCTCCTCTTCCTCCTCTTCCTCCTCCTCCACCTCCTCCTCCTCCTCGTCGTCCTCCTCCTCCTCCTCTTCCTCGTCCCCGTCCTCATCGTCATCGTCATCCTCCTCCTCCACCTCGTCCTCCTCCTCTTCTTCCTCGTCCTCCCTCTCCCCCCCCTCTTCCTTTTCATCATCGTCCTCCCATTGTCGTCCTCCCCCTCATCGGCCTCCATCATCGTCCTCCCATTGCCGTCCATCATCAGCATTCTCCCCCTCCTCCCCCTCCTCGTCCTCCTCCTCCCCCTCCTCCCCCTCCTCCCCCACCTCGTCCTCCTGCTTCTCCTCCTTTTCTTTCTCCGCGTTCTCTTTACATCCTCTCTTCTTCCGCGTCCTCCTCGTCCCCTGTTTACTCCTCCTGCCTCTCCCTCCTTTCCCAATGTAACTGCAACGCAATCCTTTTGTTCCGCCTTATGCTCCCCGACTTCTCTGATCAAGGCAACTCGCCAAGGCAAGGTTGCCGGACGGGCTGGTGTGGATGCGCGGGGCCTGAAGAGGTCCTTGCGGGCTCAGACGGCATGCAAAAATCCGCCGCCGCGCTTGTGCGGCATTGGTTTGTTCAGTGAACATGGTTTGGGTCGCGGGTGGATCGCGGGTTCTCCACCTCCACCCGGAAGGAATGCAAAAGCAGCCCGCCGCAGGCGCCAACAAACATTGGTTTGTACACTGAACGTGGTTTGGGTCGCGGGTGGGCCGCGGGTTCTCCACCGGGAACGAATGCAAAAGATGCCCGCCGCAGGCGCCGAAAAATGTGGTTTGTACCCTGAACGTGGTCGCGGGTGGGCCGCGGGTTCTCCACCTGAAACGAGTGCAGAAGATGCCCGCCGCAGGCGCCGAACAATGTGGCTTGTACCCTGAACGTGGTTTGGGTCGCGGGTTGGTCGCGAGTTGGTCACGGGGTGGGTCGCGGGCTCTCCACCTGGAAGGAATGCAAAAAAATCCCGCCGCAGGCGCCGAAAATGGTGGTTTGTACCTTCAACGTGGTGTGGGTCGAAGGTGGGTCGCGGGTGGATCGCGGGGTGGGTCGCGGGTGGGTCGCGGGTGGGTCGCGGGTGGGTCGCGGGTGGGTCGCGGGTGGGTTGCGGGGCGGGCCGCGGGTGGGTCGCGGGGTGGGTCGCGGGGTGGGTCGCGGGGTGGGTCGCGGGGTGGGTCGCGGGGTGGGTCGCGGGGTGGGTCGCAGGTGGGTCGCGGGTGGGTCGCGGGTTGGGTCGCGGGGTGGGTCGCGGGTTGGGTCGCGGGTGGGTCGCGGGGCGGGTTGCGGGTGGGACGACGACAACAAACAACAACGAACAACAACAAACAACAACAACAAACAACAACAACAACAACAACAACAACAACAACAACAACAACAACAATTACTAGCACGTGGGGACACTCCGTTCTCACCAGTGCCAGGGTTTTCATACGACGCCTGCCAATACCCCCACTTTGTGGGGGGGCCGGTTCAAGCTCTACCACATTTCCAAACGACTCTTCGCCACCACCCACACCCAACTTCCCGCCCTATGACGTTCGGACACTTCATTTCGTGGCCTGCGGACGACCGTGGCTACTACACTGGCGCGTGGCTACTACACTGGCGGATTGTGGCCCCTGGCAGGCGCGCGAACGCCGTTAAAAAAACTTGCGAAAGTAGCTCGCGCGAGCTCATGTAACATAAATGTTGAAAAACCATTGGTTTTTAAGGATTCGGACAGCGCGCGCGGGTAGAAATTTTGAAAATCCGTGCACGTGTTTTTCGAGGACCTACGGTGCGATTCGTGCGATTTTATGATACGCGGTGCTGAAATTCTTAAGAAACCCAATGGTGTTTGAAGATTTCGGCGTGCGCGCGCGAAGAAAAAACGAATGTGTCCCATATGGTATTATTTGACAGGGATGATGGCCCTGGCAGGCGCGCAACCGTTGTTGCAGAAGTTCGAAGCACGTGAAAAAGTTGCTCGCAAGAGCCCGTTTGACAGAAATGTTGAAAAAGTATTGGGTTTCCTAAGAAATCCGCAAGAGCGCGCGGGATGAATTTTTGAAACTTTTTTTTTTGAAAAACCATTGGGTTTTTCATGTTTTTATGTTAAAATCGCTACGAAAACTAAGGTTTTGGAAGGATTTCATCTTGCGCGCGCGAGTGTGCACTTCGTGTCATTTTTTGCAAAGGATTCTTGAAGTTTGGCTATGTTAGAACAAGACATGTCATTTTATATTGTTTTTTGACAGGGAAAGCGGGCGTCAACAAAACAACCGGATCCGGACTCCCCCGTTTTGCCTGAGACTTCCTCACGGAAATGATGAAAACGTGGCTGCGGCCTAGGCGCGGCGGGGGGGTCGCGCACCAGGGGTCCCAACAATAATTATTCTTTAAAGTAATAATGTTCAACGAGAATCCGCGCCGCGGAATTCCAATTCAGCCACGCAGCCAGGGACAGTGAATGACCGTTCGGCCCCCTCACTCTGATAACGAATCTGTTCTAGAGAGTTACTGACCGTGTATGGCGTGGTGGGAAGCCTCTGCGCTGTCACGCCCGAGCCAAAGTCACCTTGTGCCAGTGCTTGTTACGCGTACTCTTGATGTCACATCTTGCTTGCCTCGCTGGGTTGGAGGCTCGGCCTTGGGTTTCTGATAACTGAGCAGAATTATCTCCCATCCAGCCTGTTTGGTGTTTGCTTCTCCCCGCAGGGGAGGAGGAGGCGGATGAGGAGGAGGAGGCGGATGATGATGATGATGATGATGATGATGATGATGATGATGATGATGGTGATGGTGATGAGGATGAGGATGAGGATGAGAATGAGGATGAGGATGATGAGGATGATGATGATGATGATGATGATGATGATGATGATGATGGTGATGGTGATGAGGATGAGGATGAGGATGAGAATGAGGATGAGGATGAGGATGAGGATGAGGACGATTATGATGATGATGATGATGCTGATGATGATGATGATGGTGATGGTGATGAGGATGAGGATGAGGATGAGGATGAGGATGAAGATGAGGATGAGGATGAGGATGAGGACGATTATGATGATGATGATGATGATGATGATGATGATGATGACGACGACGATGATGATGATGATGATGATGATGATGATGATGATGATGATGATGATGATGATGATGATGATGATATGATGATGATGATGATGATGAGGATGAGGATGAGGATGAGGGAGATGAGGATGAGGATGAGGATGAGATGAGGATGAGGATGAGGATGAGGATGAGGATGATGAGGATGAGGATTGAGGATGAGGATGAGGTGAGGCTGAGGCTGAGGCTGAGGCTGAGGCTGAGGCTGAGGAGGAGGAGGAGGAGGAGGAGGCGGAGGAGGAGGAGGAGGAGGAGGATGGTGGGGAGGAGGACGAGAAGGACGAGGAGGAGGAGGAGGGGGAGGAGGAGGAGGAGGAGGAGGAGGAGGTGGAGCAGGAGAGGAGGAGGAGGAGGGACGAGCAGGAGGAGGACGAGGAGGAGGCCGAGGCTTAGAAGGAGGAAGGAGGAGGAGGAGGAGGAGGAAGAGGAGGAGAAGGAGGAGGAGGAGGCGGAGGAGGAGGGGCGGAGGAGGAGGACGAGGAGGGAGAGAGGAGGAGGAGGAGGAGGAGGAGTAGGAGGAGGAGGAGGGGAGGAGGAGGAAGAGGAGGTGGAGGAAAAGGAGGAGGAGGAGGAGGAGGAGGAGGAGGAGGAGGAGGAGGAGGATGAGGCCATCGCCCTTGGCCTGCAGCGCAGGCCACCTCCAGCGGCGAGCCGCCCTCGCTGGCGTGGGGGATGCACGGGCCAGCGGGGGCGTGGGCGCTGCTCCAGGGCGCTGGGCGCGGGGCTCGTTTACCAGACCTCGAGGCCGTGCCCGCGGCTGTGGCCGACGTTGCGCTGCTGGCCTGGCTCGGGGACCTCCGCGGCGCCGCCGAGCTGTCCGCGGTCTGCGCGGCGGGCGGCAAGGCTTTGCTCCCGCCGCGAAGGTATCGAAGACGCCTACGGCGAATCACCGCCGCCCCCTGCCTTTTTGGAAACGCCTATGTGGCCGAACGTTGTGGCCAGAGGCCTGCCATGCCATCGGACCATGTCTTCCCCGAATCGGTTTGGAAAGGGTTCGGGGAACACGGTGGGCGAGGCTGGGCCGACTTGGGCCTTTCTTGGGGTGCTCCAGTGCCGTCTTGGAGGCCATCTTGAGCGTCTTGGAGGCCTCTTGGGCCGCCTTGGGGGCCTCTTGGGGTCGTCTTGGGGGCCTCTCGGGCCGTTCTGGGGCCATACCGGAGACAGCTTGGGCGATCTTTGGGGGCTCTTGGGCCGTCTCGGGCCGTCGGAAGGCCGAAAAAAGCGAATGCCACAATCCTTCACAAACTGTCGGTAAATCAATGATTTTGGCCTTTTCGGGCCTTCCTGGAGGCCCTCTTGGAGGCCTCTTGGGCTGTCTTGGGCCATTTTAGGGCCATCTTCGGCCGTCTTGGTGGGCTCCTGGCCCGTCTGACGCCGTCGGAAGCCGTTTGGGGCGCCTCTCTGGGCCGACTTGGGGCCCTCTTGGAATGCTCCAGGGCCGTCTTGGAGGCCATCTTGGGCGTCTTAAAGTCCTCCTGGGCCGTCTTGGGGGCCTCTTGAGGCCGTCTTGGGGGCCTCTTGGGCCGGGGTCATCTTGGAGGCCTCTTGGGCGATCTTTAGGCGATCTTTGGGGGCTCTTGGGCCGTCTCGGGCCGTCGGAAGGCCGAAAAGAAGCAAATGTCGAAATCCTTCAAAACCCTAGGGAAAATCAGTTGTGTTGGCCTCTTCGGGCCCTCCTTGAGGACCTCTTGGAGGCCTCTTGGGTCGTCTTGGGCCGTATTGGAGGCCTCTTGGGCGAACGTGGAGGTATCTTGGACTCTCTTGGGCCATCTTGGGGGCCGTCTTGGACCATCTTGGGCGGACTTGGAGGCCATCTTGGACCATCTTGGAGGCCATCTTTGGCCATCTTGGAGGATTTTTTTCCGGATTGAGGTCCTTGGCAATCTTTCCGGGTGGCCGGCGGGACGGGCCGAAGCCCCAGGGGGAGTTCTTTTGGAAAAAGAACCAAAACCAAGACCGAGAGGGTTCAGCACGCCAGGCAACCCTGCGATGAATCGACAGGGGGCGGCGGATCTAGTGGCCTTCGGCCCATCCCGCCACCGCGCCTGGGATGTAGGTCGGAGTCCTCTTGGATGCTCGTGGGGAATCTCTTGGGAGGCCTCTTGGAAGCCTCTTGCAGGCGGTTTTGGGGTGTCTTGAGACATTTCGGGGGCCTCTTGGGGTTTCTTTTGGGTTTCTTGGGGGCTTCCTGGGGTTCCTTGGCGGCCCCTTTGGGCCTTTCTTGGGACCCCCTGGGGGCACTCTTGGGCCTTCTTGGGGGCATCTTGGGCCGTGTCGTGGCCTTCTTTGGGGCCTCTTGGGTGGACCGCCTTGGGGCCCTCTTGGGTGCCCTGTGGGTTGTCTCGGAGAACTGTCAGCCAGGAAAGGCGAGAACGCTAACATCTTTCCACAACCCATTGGAAATCAGTGAACTCGTGCCTCTCGGGACCCTCTCGGGATTGCCTTTTGGAGCTTCCTTGAGGCGTTTTGGGGTAGGTTAGCACCCGCTTGTTTCCCAATGTGCGGACAGCCAAGGTAACGAATTATGTGTAACAAGCTGGTGCGCCCGCTTTCCTGGGCCACCAGGCGGGGCCTCCGAGGGCGTACTGCGGCCATGTTGATCGCTTTTGAGAGCGCTCGTGGGCCGTCTCGGGGCAGTCTTGGGGCCCCCTCCTGGCCTCGGGAAGGTTCCCTAGCGACACGGCGCCCGAGAGACGCGCCACGCCCCGAGAGCGTCCAAGAGCGTCCAGGGCTCGGGGTCGGGCCATTGAGTGCTCTACCCCTCTATACAGAGGACTCCAGGGACCTGAGGACACTCCAACGCAGTGCGAAGTCTCTGGGTTTCGGGACAGGTCCAGCGACAAGGCCCACCGACGCGCCACACCCAGGGGCGTCCGGAAGTCGGGGCTGTGGACCCTTTTTTGGGCGTCGCGTCATTGGGGGGGGCGATAGATGCGGGGGGGGGCAGCGAGGGCTGCCGAAAAGGGGCCCTTGAGGGCCTCTGAAGGGGGCCTGAGAAGGGCACCTTTCTCCCCCCCCCTGTGTATCGTCCCCCCATTAAGCGAAACCCATCGTAAGAGAGAGCTCGATTCTCTATGCAGAGGACCGAGGGACTTGAGGACACTCCACTGCAGTGCCTCGCGGCACGGTGGCGGATATACGCAGACGCTTCGCAGTGGATTGTTCCTGAGCCTTACGGGGTGGGGTGGCGGTGTATAGTCGGGGAAACGTAAGACTCGAGTAAGCCGGAACTCGGGTTTGCCGACTTTTTTTGACGAGCGCGTCCTGGATTTTGGCGGTCCCGTTTTCGTGGGATGTCTGCAGCGGGAGCCCGCGTCAAATTTCAGATTGGGTCTCGTCATTTTTATGATGGCCCCCGTCAGGCCAACCCGAGTCCACCGTGCACGAGTCTTAAGTCTCCCCGATATAGGTAACAACCACTAGGAGCCAACGACTTCATCCACCAAACCCTCCTCGAAGGCACATAACAAACGCACCGGCTGGTGCCAGTGCGTATTTCCCCACCATCATGTGGTGTTGAGTCCTCATGTTGAAGCGACAGCGCCCCGCGTCCTCCTCTCCTCCTCTTTCCTCCCTCCTCCCTCCTCCCCCTGCTAACTCTTGCTTCCCGCATCAGTTCACCAGTTCGGCACACCCTCACACGTTTCGTGGTCCCAGAGGGATCTCCACCGAAGGTCCCAGGAGGACGTACCACATGTGGCTGCCCCACCCACTTCGGCACATCTCTCACACGTTTCGTGGTACCTCACGGAGCTCCACCTAGGCCCCAGGTGGGTTCACCACATGCGGTCGCCCCACCCATATTGGCACACCCCTCACACGTGTCGTGGTCCCCTAGGGATCTCCACTTAGGGCCCAGCGGGGTGTGAACATGCGGCCGACCCGCCCATTTTGGCGCACCCCTCACACGTTTCGTGGACCCGGAGGGAGCTCCACCGAAGGCCCCAAGGGGGTGTACCACATGCAGCCACCCCACCCACTGCGGCACATCCCTCGCATGTTTCGTGGCCCCAGAAGGGTCTCCATCTAAGGCCCCATGGGAGACATTCGGCCGCCCTACTCATTTCGGCACCCCTCACACGTTTCGTGGCCCTATAGGAAGCCCCCCTTCGAAGGCCCCAGTACCAGGGCCCGCATGCCACGTTTCGTGGTCCCATAAGGAGCTCCACCGAAGGCCCCAATGACAGCGCCCGCATGGCGGCCCCGCCCCATTTCAGCACACCTCTCACACGCTTCGCGCTCCCATACTTAAAGCCTCAGTGGCAGCGCCCGCATGGTCGCCCCGCCCCATTTCGGCACACCCTTCACACGCTTCGTGGCCCCTAGCAGGAGATGCACCGAAGGTGATATTCACAACGACAGTGCTCGCAACTGCAAATAGCTGGGTCCTTCGCCAGAATAATTTTTTTTGGCCTGGTGCCCCCCGCTGCTTGCCATCCTGGGGCGAGGGTTGAGCGTCGAGGTTGGCTGCGCGCAGAAGGGTGGTCGGGCGCGGAGGGTCTGCCTTCTGATTGGGTACTCTTAGAACTCGTGGGCCCTCAGCGCTCCAGACTCCGAATGGCCTCCATGGACAGACACGCGGTACAGTTTGCACACATCTTCCGGATCACCGGAAGGCCCTGTCGGCCTTGGAGCAGCTGGTCGCCGAGATCGGCCGGGCGGAGAAGGCGTCCGGTGCATTCAGCTGCGCTTGCCGCGCGTCTCCGATGCCGCGCCGTGGGGGTGGGATGGGTGGACCGCGCCCCGCCAGGAGCTTTCTTGTTCCTGCTTCATGTTGTAACGTGGAAGGCGACAGCGCAGGGGCTTGGAGCTCACGAGTGGACGCACGTGTTGGGCTCGACGCGTCGCGGGGCCGTGATCGCTGTTGCGCCAGAAGCGGATTTCATGGGCAAAGCTAAGGGCGCGACACGCCAACCGCTGTCCGTCGCAGTGGCGATTTCTTTCCGAGGACCTGCCGCGCCGACCCGACTCCCCGTCTCCTCCCAAGAGGGGTGCACCTGGAGCAGGGCACCTACAAGGCCCGCGACGGCACCGAGATCGGCCTGGTGCACGCCTGGGCGGCCGCACCACCGGAGGAGCTCTGCGAGGGTGGGAGCGGAGGGCGGACGGTGGTGGTGCGCTGGGGCGGCAACGCCGAGCTGGCCGCCGAGGTGGTTCGCCCGGGCTCCCCCTGGGAGGAGATGGTCGCCTCAGGCACGGACGTGCTGGGTGGGACGGAGTCTCACGGGGTGGGCAGGAGCCTGGAGCCTTTCCACGAGTTGATCTTCGGTTTGCATGCTCGTTTCGCCCGCACCATGCTTCGCTCGCGGGTCGTCTCGTCCCCGCGTTCGTCTCGCCAGGGCTCGTTTCTCCCGCGCTCGTTGTGCCTGTCTTCCCTGCAGCGCGCGGGCTGGTGGCATGGGGTCTTGGGCGTATGGATTCACCCTCGACTGGACGTTCAATACCCCGAGCCTTTAATTACTTGCGTCTCGGACTCAGCACGGAGGGCTAGTGGCCTGGAGTTTGGGACTCAGTGCTTGGGTGTTCACGTCTCTGGTTCCGGGTTTTCTCAGATGTTGAAGTACAGACCTTTGCTCCGCACATCTATGTGATCATCCGTCCCCATATAATTCATCATTCCTTGTTTTTCCCTTCTCCCTCCTACCTCCTCCCTGCTCCCTCCTGCCCCCTCATCCTTTCCACATTGACGTACTACAATGCCTATATTCACCAGGCATCCCTGTTTCGTACGACGCCACCAGGAATCCTTTCGACCTGCACTGCTTCAAACATTGCGGAGCTGGAAGCTGCTCGACGGACTCATGCAACTCATTCTACAAACGCTCATCCCTACACGACAACGCATGAGTTGCGGAGTGCAATTAGAAGACAGCGAGGCCTTTGCCCTCCCGCAAGTGTTTGTGATCGTTTTTATTTCGCACGATTTTCAACTTTCGAGTCTGCACGCGTTTCGGAATGGCGCCCGCCGCACCCCTGCGCCGTGCACAACCTCCGTTTGAGGACTACTCTCCTCTCCAACGAATCACGGCTGGATCTTTCGCTGGACATTTCCGTTCTTGTTTTCTACACAGGTTCCACCCACTATGAATTTCTTCCATGCGTTCTTCCTTTCATTGTCGTCGTCGCCGCCGTCGCCGTAGTCGTCGTCGTCGTCGTCGTCGTCGTCGTCGTCGTCGTCGTCGTCGTCGTCGTCGTCGTCGTCGTCGTCGTCGTCGTCGTCGTCGTCGTCGTCGTCGTCGTCGTCGTCGTCGTCGTCGTCGTCGTCGTCGTCGTCGTCGTCGTCGTCGTCGTCGTCGTCGTCGTCGTCGTCGTCGTCGTCGTCGTCGTCGTCGTCGTCGTCGTCGTCGTCGTCGTCGTCGTCGTCGTCGTCGTCGTCGTCGTCCCCCTTCTCCCTTTCTTCCTTCCCCCGACCACTCCTCCTTCCCCCTACTCCTCCGTCTTCTCATTCGCCCTCGTCGTTCCTCTCCCAGTCCTCCTCTTGCCGCGATCACGGCTGGGCCGTTGACATCGACCTCTCGTGTGTGCCGTTCGTTGGGCGGACTGCTTCACCGCGAGGGTGGCTGCCAGGCCTGTGCACGTATGCATTTGTCCTTCCTGAATCCTGGGGCCCCATCGTCTGGTGCAGCGGCCAGGCGGGTCGCATTGTGGTTCTTTGTTGTATCGGTCGGCGACGGGTGGGATTCGCTTTCACCAACGCCTGATTTCTGCCACCTCGTCTGTCGAGTGCGACCGTGCACCCAGCGGCCTAGTGGCGCAAGGAGATGCCCTTCTGCGGGGCATCTCGCCTCTCGATTGAGACCGTGCACCCAGGGCGGCCTCGAGGACGCGAAGTTGTTCTCGCTTCGCGCTTCGCGGTTCGTCTCCGTTTCCTCCGCATCCTCCTCTTCTCCCCTGGTGGGCGGCGCGAGAGCCCGAAGTTATTCGCGCTTCGCGCTTCGCGCAGCTCGAAGCGCGAGCTTAGGAGCCCTTAGTGCACCCAGCGGCCCAGTGGCGCAAGAGGATGCCCTTCTGCGGGGCACCCCGCGCATACGCGCCCCGGAGTGCGCAGCGAGCTACAGGCTCTGCCGCAGGCGAAGACGTGGGCCGCCCGGCTGCGGGCGGCACAAGCCGCGGCTGCCCGCAGCGCCTCCTCGCTGTGCGCCTCGGCACACGGGGCGAGCTCGCACCGCCGCCCTCCGAGGCGCCGGACTGGGCCCGCTGTGAGTGCTTGCGTCGGGCGACGGAATCTATGTCCACTGTTCCCTGTCCAGGCCCATCCTGATCACAGCAACCCTGTTGCGGTGCCGGCGAGTCCGCACTGCCGCCTTCGAAAGTGCGCCGGACCGGCCCACCCTCCGAGGCGTCGGACTGGCCCGTTGAATGGTTGCTGAATGGCCCATCTACGGCTCATGTACCGCCCATTCAGATGTTCCAGTATGGTTGGCATCTACTGCGTGTTGGTATGGTTGAGGCCCACGCGCAGTGGATGCCAACCATGCCGGATCATTTGGATAAGCCAAAGGCGGGCCATTCAGCACCCATTGAAAACCCCTTGTTGCGGACCCCTTGGTTCGCCCTCCAGGCTGAGCAGAAAAGTGAGCTCTTCCGCGTGGCAGAGGCGGGCAGTGTCAACGAGGCCGTTTTCCGCCCTTTTTGCCGTTCTGCTCTTCTGTCCTCTTCGTGGCCGTGCTCCTTCCTCCTCTCGTCTCAGCATTCCACCCCTCTCCTTCTTCCCGACCTGCTCCCCGTATGTATCCTCCCCCACCTCCCCCACCTTCTGCTCTTCCTTCTCCTCCTTCTTCTCCTCCTCCTCTTCCCCCTCCTCTCTCAATGGCTATTTCGCGCATGGCGCTGCTTGATGGCTTCCGTCTTGTCTCCACCAAGACGTCGCTCGACTTCCCTAGCGTGCTTCGTGGTCCCATCTGACCCCATGCTTTGAACAATAGTCGATGAGCCACGCACCGCAAATGCCAGGCGCCAGGAAGAAATCACGGTCTGGTTCGACACATGACCTTGCGAGTGGGATGGACGTGGGGGAGTGGTCGGACGAGCTGTGTCGTTGGTGCACCCTGCAGGAGGAGGCGGAGGAGGAGACGGAGGAGAGCTGCTGCTCTCCGCGCTGACGGCCGCCCGTGCCGCCCGGGAGGCCTTGCGCGGCTGATCGCCGTGGACTACCGCGGCTTCGGTTGGTCGGGCGGGGCGCCTTCCATGGCAGCGCTGCGCGCCGACGTGGCGGGCCCTGCCAGTGCCGCTGCCGACGCTGGGGCTGCTGGTGCCGCTGCTGGTGCCGCTGCTGGTGCTGGTGCCGCTGCTGCTGCCGCTGCCGCGGTCTCTGTGGACCCCGCCGCCGCCGCCGCCGCCGCCGCTGCAGCTGCCGCTGCCGCTAATCCGCGTCCTCGTCCTTGTCCACGTCCTTGTGCCGTCTGGACGCCTCTGCCGCTGCCTCGCATCTTTGCGTGCCTCTCCTGCCGCATGTGGAGAAAGGAGCTTCAAGAGGGAGCTCGTGGCGAGCACGAAGAGACTCACCACTAATGTCAGTTTGTCATTATTACATGATGCCCCCTGGGGCTGACGAATAGACCACACGGGGCGCGTCACATTTTTTTGAATCACGCGCGCCCAGGGGTCGTCGCGGGGGCTGCTGAGGGTATCGTGTACTCCCCTTCACGACAGACTCAGAACGATTTCTTGTCGCATAAGGTTTAGGGATAACAGTCATCCGAGCCGAAGTTGTGCCTCCTCTCCAACTGATTACTGACGTGCCGTCGTCGTCGCCGTCGTCGCCGTCGCCGTCGCCGCCGCCGTCGTTGTCGTCGTCGGGTTCGTCGTCGCGATTGTCGTCCTCGTCGTCGCCGTCGTCGCCGTCGTCGTCGTCGTCGTCGCCGTCGTCGTCGTCGTCGTCGTCGTCGTCGTCGTCGTCGTCGTCGTCGTCGTCGTCGTTGGTCGTCGTCTGTCGTCGTTGGTCGTTGTCTGTCGTCGTCGATCGTCGGTCGTCGGTGTTCGGCCGTCGTAGTCGCCGTCGCCGTCGATGTTGCTGTCGTCGTCGTCGTCGTCGTCGTCGTCGTCGTCGTCGTCGTCGTGGTCGTCGTCGTCGTCAGTTCCAGCGGGCCTACGCAGCCCCTCCCCCCGAGGGGGGGAGAGGCTGCGTCGTCGTCGTCGTCGTCGGCTGTCGTTGACGTGGACGTCGTCGTCGGCGCTTGTCGTCGACGTCGACATCAGCGGGCCTACGCATCCCCCCCATGGCGCATCCGAAGTGCGTCGTCGTCGTCGTCGTCGTCGTCGGTGTCGACGATTACAGCGGGCATGCGCAGCTCTTCGTTGCAGGATTTGTTTGTATAAAACAAAACGTCGCAGCGCGGCAGAGGCCATGATCCGCGCGCGCGTGGGCGAGACCAGAGCACGGGACGGCGAATGTTGTCGCACGCAGGAGGAAGGGGATAGGCGTGGGAGGCGGCCGCGGGGAGGGGAAACTGGGGGAAAAGTCACTCTTACGCGGCGGCTGCGGCGAGCGCGCGGGGGCCGCTGGGCTGAAGGACAGCCCCTGGCAGCTGTCGCGGGGCGGCATCCCGATGCATCCAGGGGCGGGGTTAGCAGCCGCAGTGAAGGCGAAGCCCGGCAATGGGGGGGGGAGCAGCGGGTGGTTGGAAAAACCGGGCGCCACGCGTGGGGGGGCAGCGGCGTGAGGGCCGGCGGCGGGCCAAGAGCGCGGTGCGACTGGCGTTGCAGCAGGTGCGAGTGCTGCCCCAAGGCGGAGAGTTGCGGGCGGGCCAGTGGCGAAACGCGACTGTGCGGCCGGGGTGCGAGCCGCGGGGGCGCAGTGCAGGGGCCAGACGGTAGGGCCGGGCGCCATCCCGAAGCCGGCGCGCGGCATCGCAGCTTGAGAATAGGCGGAGCCTGGTGCAAGTGACGCACGGGAGGGGTTCCCACGAGGGGGATGAGAGGGGCGGGCCCGTCGGGGGCCGTCCGATGGGGCGCCAATGAAGGCGGCCGCCGGGGGGCAGGGGGAGATGGCGGCAACCTGCGCGCTCGCAGAGGGCCGCGCCGCGTGCCAAAAACCCCGGGGCGAGACCGCGTGTGAAGCCCCGTGCGGCTCGCTGGGCGAGGGCTTCGCTAGGCGAAGGGTGAGTGCGAGCGCCTTGGCGGAACCCAGTGCAATGACGCCTGGGCGGGGCTCTTACGAGGGGAAGGCGGGGAGGGGCGGGCTGCTGCGCGGCGCCGTCTGGGGTGGGTGGGCGCCGCGGACGACAGCCACCAGGGGTGCATGGGAATGGGCGGGGCGCCAACGCGCCCAGGGGAGGGCGGTTCCGCGTGCCGGGTAGCGCAGGCATGGGCCCGGGGTGGGGGGCAAAAATGGGAGGTGAGCCGCAAATGCGGAGACCCACAGGTGGGGCGGCGCGAGTTGCCGATAGGTGCTTGGCCACCTGTGACGCCCTGGGGCCGCGGGGGCCAGCCTCCGCAGGGGCGCGGCCCAGCTCGCCGCTCGCTTGGCGACCGGCGGAAGGCAGCGGAGAGCGGCGGCTGCCGGGGAGGGGCGTTGCCGGGGCGGGGCGGGGCCCGAGGTGGCAGGGGCGGAAGGCAACAAACGCCCCGGCCGCCAGGGTCGCAGGGCCGAGGAGGGGCTGCGCCGACGCTGCGGTGCAGGGGGCAGGCGCAAGCGGGCGCCTCTGGGAGCGGGCGGGGGGCGGCGAGCGGTCAATGTGCGCGAACGCGGGGGCGGATGGCGGGCCGCAGGGCGGGGGGCTTCAGTGCGCCGGGGGGCCAAGCAGCGACGGGGGAGTGCTTGTTAGTGCGCGGACAGGTGGAAGAGATGGAGCCGTAGCCTCCCGCGTCGGAAGGCCCGCCGCGGTCGTCGCCGACGGATCCAGGTAAAACGGGAAAGCGCCCAAGTGGTGCGCAGACTGGTGGAAGAGAAGGGCGCGGGCGCCTCCTGGGTTGGAAGGCGCGCCGCAGTCGTCGTCGTTGGAACCGGGCCAACGGGGGGCGCCGAACAGGTGCGCAGACAGGTGGATGGATGATGCGCGCGGACAGTGGTCGCGGAGATGCTGGCAGCCCCGCCGACGGGGCGCGCCCAGACCAGGGTTCCGAGGCGAGTCCAACTGCGGCGACGGGAGGCGCTGCCCGCCTCCGACGGAGGCGAGCCGCCGCGGAGCCCCCCCAGGGAAAATGCGGCAAGGCTCTCCCGCCAGGTCGGCGGCGGTGGGTCCAGGTCTTCCTCGCAACTGGCTGACTTGTCAGTCGGGGCGCTCGCGCAAACCGAACATGGGCGCGGGGGCCAGGGCCCCGTGGCGAGTCCGACTGCGGCGATAGGGGAGACGCCGCCTGCTTCCGACGGAGGCGACCAGGTCGCGGAGGCCATTCTCGGGGCAAAGTGCGGCCTTGCTTGCGCGCCAGGTCGGCGGCGAAGGGCCCGGGCCCGCTCCGCGCAGGGGCCAGGCGAGCAAGCAAGCGAGTGACATGCATTGCATGTTTCGCCCTCCCTCTCCGACCAGCCCCGCCCGCCCCGCTCGTTGGCTTGCTCGCTCGCCCGCGAGCGGGCCCGGACCCCCTTCTCCTCGCTCGCCCGCTCGCTGCAGCGGGCGAGCGAACGAGCGAGCAGGCGAGCGCCGTGCGTTGAATGTTCTGCCCGCCCGACCCGCCCTGCCCGACTCGTTCGGTCGCTCGGTGGCTCGGGCGAGCGATCGAGCGAGCACCGTGCTTTTGATGCCCCGCCCGCCCGCTCCGACCAGTCTCGCCCGCTTCGCTCGCTCGCTCGAGCGAGCGATCGAGCGAGTGGGCCCCGTCTCGCGCGCCCGCTCGTCGGGGCAGGCGAGCGCGAGAGCGGCCAGGCAATCGGGCACCGTGCATTCCAGGTCCCGCCCGCGCGACTCGAGCTGCCGGACTCGCTCGGTCGCTCGCTGGCTCGAGCAAGCGAGCGCGCAAACACCGTGCATTTAATGTCCCGCCCGCCGGCTTCGACGGGCCCCGCCCGCCTCGCTCGCTCGCCCGCTCGCTCGAGCGCGCAGGCGTGCAATCGAGCGGGCGAGCGGAGTGCATTTAGTGTCCCGCCTGCCCGACTCGCTCACTCGCCCGGGCAAGCGAGCGAGTGGGCGCGCGAGAGATCGACATGAATGTAGCCACGAGTTTCAAGAACCTCGCCAGTTGTGTCTTCAGTAGCTCGCTCGCTCGCTCGCCCTCCCGCACCCCGTGCTCGCTCGCTCTCTCGCTTGCTTGTTCGCGCGAGCAAGCGAACGAGTGGCCAGGGCGAGCGAAGGAGAGGGCCCCCTCCTTCCCTCGCTCGCTGACTCGCTCGCGCAAGCGATCGAGCGAAAGGGCCCGCCTCTTCCCTCGGCCGTTCGCTCGCTCGCCCTTTCGATCGAGCGAGCGAGAGGGCCCCCTCATCCCTTCCCTCGCTCGCTCGCCTGCTCGCTCGTTCAAGCGAGCAGGCGGGCGAACGAGCAAACGAGCACGGTGCATTTGATGTTCCGCCTGCCTGACCCGACCCGCCCGATTCGCTCGTTCGGGCGAGCAAGCAAGCGAAAAACACGCATTCCATGTTTCCCCTGCCCGACCCGACCCGACCCGCCCGAGTCGCGCAATCGCTCGCTCGCTCGTTCGGCGAGCAACCGAGCGCCATGCGTGTAACTTCCAGTCCTCCCGACCCGACGCGCCCGACTCGCTCGCTGCTCGAGCAAGCGACCGAGCGAGCGAGCGAGCGAGCAATGTGCATTAAGGTCTCGCCCGCTCGGCCCACCGGACTTGCTCGCTCGCCCGTTCGCACTCGAGCGAGCAAGCGAGCGAGCGAGCGAGCAAGCGAGCACCATGAATTTCATGCCCCACCCGCCAGACCCGAGCCGTTCAGCCTTCCTCGATCGATCGCACGCTCGAGCGAGCGAGCGATCAGGCGAGCGCCGTGCACTGCATGTCCAGCTCGCCCAACCCGACCCGCCCGACTTGTTTGCTCGGTCGAGCAAACGAGCGAGCGAGCAAACGAGCGAGCGAACTACACGAATTTCTAAGCACTCCGGTCTTTCGAGAGGCTCTGGAAACTCGCCAACCGAGTTTTTAGAAACTCGCTCGCTCGCCTGCCCGCCTCGCTCGTTCGCTCGAGCTCTGGAGTGACCGATGGAAAGGCCAGCCTTTCTATCGCTCGCTCGCCACCTCCTTTGCTCGCTTGCCCGAGCGACCGAGCGAGTGAAAACCCAGCCGTAGCCGTAGTTACGCTTCCTCCCTCCCTCCCTCCCTCTCCCCCTCCTTTCTTCTTCTGGCCCTCCACTCCCCTTTCTTCCTCCTCCTTCCCCTCCGCCTCCCCCTCTCCCTCCGCCCTTCTCTGCCGCCTCTTCTCCTACCGCCCCTTCCCTCGGCGAAGTGTGGCCCCCCGTGCACAGTGAACTGGTGCCGGCGCAGCCCCGAAGTGCACGGCACCAGGCCTACGAACGGCCGTTGTCCAGCGCCCAACCATAGCGCCTGCCCCCCCGTCCCCGTCCGATTGTCGCAGCCATGGGCTGGTACTCGCCTGGCTGTTGTTTGCTACGCTCGGGTCATTGAGGGTTGGACACAACAGAACGTCTCCGCCCCCCCGCCCGGCCCCCGAGTCGGACCTCCTCGTTGCGCTGCCCGCCTGGCACGCCGCGCGCGGGCTGCGCTGGCCCCCCGCCCCGGGCCGGCTGGTGCTGCTGGGGCGGTCGCTGGGGGCGCAGGCCTTCATGGAAAGGGGGGGGCCTCCTCTCCCCCTCCCTCCCCTCCCTCCCTGCTCCCTCCTCCTCCTCCTCCTCCTCCGCCTCCTCCTCCTCCTCCTCCTCCTCCCCCTCCTCCTCGCCCTTCCCCTGGGCCGTTTCAGGTGCTCGCGCTCCTCGGCGGCCATCGGCGGCGCGCGCTGCCTCTCTTCCGCCGTCCCGCCTCCAACGGTGTCGGCGTCTCGGCAGCGATGGGTCCTGGAGCAACTTCGCTGCGGCCACCACGCGCGGATTTCGGTGGCGTCGCATGTGGACCGCGTGGCCTTGCTCATCATGTTCTTGCCTGTTAAGTCGTTGGTGATGTTTCTGATCGACATGGTTCCGAATCCTATTATTGTGGACCATGGGCATCCAAGTTCTAGTGGAACGTCGCACGTCTCAATCACGTTTCAGCCTCTACCTGGTGCTGCGGCTCCACTGCGCCCTGACGGGCCTGACGAGCCACCTAATGATGCTGATGGTCTCCTCGATGTCCCTGACGCTCCCCCGATGATAATGGGGACGATAATGTTGGTGGCAGTCCTGGGGCCAAGCGCCCTAGGCCACGCCTGCGCCGACGCGGCGCTTGACCTGCGGAGGCACCCCTAGATCATCGCGCTGGCGGGGCTTGCCTGGATAATGGGGTTCTCAAGCACAGTGCGTGTTCTGATGAGGGACTGCCAGAACCCATTCATGTCACTGCACAGGTTGGGGACGGAGTTTCAGCTGGCGGGCCTCTATTCGTTCGTACGGTGGTCCCTGAGAACCCGTGAAGGAAGGATGGTGGGTCCGAGGTTCTGGGGCACGTGGCAGGTGCCAATCATGGGCTTCGAAAACCCGCTCGCGTCACTGAACTTGATGGTCACTTGCCTGAGGAATTGCGATAGTAACTGCTGTTGCTGAACGTGAAGACATGGCAACGTGTAGCCGAAACCAACGAGAAGGATGGGTAACCTTCCCAAGGGTACCCTTGCATCCGCGCCTCTTTCGTCCATCCTGAACTGCTTCCGATGGCCCGCCGCGCTCGCACAAGCTCTTGCACGGGCGTCCAAGGGCTTTGTGTTGCTTCGCGCAGCATTGCTATCAGTTTCGACTTTGAGGGCCAGGAGCGGCAGGGAGCTCCGACACGGACACTGCAGAGCGACGGGGGGAAGTCAAACTTCGGCCCGATACGCCACGCGGCCGCGTTCCCGCAGGGGCTCGTCGCGTGAGAGGAAGCGTGTGAAGGGCATTCGTCTGGCCCATTGCGCGGGTCCGAGGGCCGTGGGGCTCTTATGACCAGGTGGCCGGGCGGCAACAATCGACAGTCGGGCGTCATGAATCCTGGCGAGGAGGAGGAGGAGGAGGAGGAGGAGGAGGAGGAGGAGGGAGGGAGGAGAGGAGGAGGAGGAGGAGGAGGAGGAGGAGGAGGAGGAGGAGGAGGAGGAGGAGGAGGAGGGAGGAGGGAGGGAGGAGGAGGAGGAGGAGGAGGAGGAGGAGGAGGAGCGGAGGAGGTCGGCGGCGAAGTCTGAACCCCGCCCTCGCCGATCCACGATCCAGGCAACTCGGTGGGCGGCGGGGGTAGGGTTCGCACTTTGCCGAGCACCTGGCGAAATCCGAGTCCTACTCCCGTCTCCCATCGATTCAGGAGAATCGATGGTTGGTGGGGGTAGGGTTCGGACGTCACCTCCTAGGAGGGGCGGCGGGGAGGAGAGGCGAAGTTAGAGACCAGCGTCACCGCCTTCAGCGCTCCAGCATCCTCGTCTCGGGTTCTGCTGTTTTGATGCCTTCTGGGGACCCTTAAGCCCTCTTGGGCCCAATCGATTTCATTCAATGACCCGAGACTTTCCCGACCATGGGGATGGCGAACGTGTTCTGGGCCGACAGGGTCAATTGGAATGGGACAAACGAGGAACACAGAGCACAGATACCCCTGCCTTCCTCATCCATCTCTCTTGCCCTCATTCCACTCTGACTCCGCCGGCCCTTTCTGCTCGTCCTCACTCTCGTCCTTTCTGCTCCCTCTTCAACCGTGTGTCCACTCTGCATCCGCCCCTCCTCCTCATCTCTTCTCTCCTATCCCCTTCACCCTCTCCCTCTCCCTGTGCCCAAAGGAATCAGAATATCCCGAAAGTTCATGGGAGCTCCCAAAGGCATCCCAAACCATAGGAGCCCTCTTATATCCGCCCTTCTTTCTGCTTCTTCTCCCTTTCCCTTTCCCTTCTCTTCTTTTTCTTTTTCTTCCTACCTCCTCGTCGTCTTTCGCCTTCCTTTCCCCATCCTCCTTCCTTTCCGACTCCTCCTCTTCCCTGCCTCTCTCCAAGCCCTCCCCCCGCCCCCCCCCCTTCGTTGCCTCTTCCTGCCGCCGCTGCCGCTGCCACTTCGCCCTCCCTCCCCCTCCTCCACCTCGCCCCCCTCCTCTCCTCCTCTCCTCCTCTCCTCCTCTCCTCCTCTCCTCCTCTCCGCCCTCCCCCCACCCTGGCGGCCAGGCCGCCCTGCACGCTGCCGCGCTGCTGCCCCCGCCGCTGCGCGCCGCGCTGGTGCTGGACTCGCCCGCGGTGTGCCACTGGCCGCTGGAGCAGGCGGCCCCGCCCCCGGGGCGCCGCCGTGGTCGCCGCCGCCGCCCCCGTGCGCCGCCGTCGGCCTCGCTCTCCGGCGTCGTCGTGGTCGTGGTCGTGGCCGTGATCCTCGTCGTCGTCGTCGTCGACGTCCTCGACGTCGTCGTGGTCGTTGTCGCCGGCCTCCTCTTCCATCCCAGGTGGGGGGGAGGACGGCGGCGACAACGACGCCGGCAACGACGTCGACGTGGCTGAGGGTGGGGGTGAGGGAGGGCTTACCATGAAGTCCTGCTGCTCCCCCTGCCCAGTGCCTTCCCCCTCCCTTTGGTCCTCGCCCCCCTCCACAAGTATTCATTTGCATTACGCCACCCCGGCAACCCCTCGGGAGCCGTGGGCGCCGGTCTTCCCATGGGCGTTGTCGTAGAAACGTGTTGGCGCCCTGCGCCCTTCTGGGAAACCGCACGCCGTACTCAGAAACGGACCCTGTTGGGTCATTTTGGGCCTGTTGGCGGCCGTTTTCGGGCTTTTTCGGGGCCTATTTCTTTTTTTTGGGCCCCTGTCGGGGCTTTCTTGGGGGCCTGCTGGCGGCTATGGGGGGCCTCTTTCATCAGGCGCATCATGCAGCTCAACGCCGTTGTCCTGGCCATGCAGGAGATACATGCGCGCATCGCCTACCCGGCGATGGAGTGCGCCAGCAAGATCAGTGTGCACAGCGACGGCTCCGTCAAGCGCGAGGAGGAGACAGGGTGCGACATGAGAGGCGCCGTATACATGCGTCTGGGGAAGTGTCGCAGTACTGGTAAACAAATCAGCCACCTGCTCGACGCTGAGCCGATCACACAAACTCGTGTGTTGATCGGCATTCGGCTCCGATCTGCTTGCAGCATGTGGTGCAGCAGACGGGCTACACGCGTACCTCCTTGCGCTCCACGAGATGGCGCGAGGACCCGACTCAGCAGACGAGATCAGGAGGCTGAGGGAGGAGTGGGTTTGCTCCGTGCTAGCCGAGCTGGTCGTAGACGGCATGTCCGTCTTCTCGGCGGTTGCCACGGACCACGTGCACCCGCCGTCCGAGAACAGTGCGGCAGACCACCTTCTGTGGCTAACTGGCCAGCTTCGCACCAGACAGGTGTCCGACGTGCTGTGGTGCGACACCTGGATCTGCGAGCATATCCTGTGACGAAGGGAAGCGCCGGCAGAGAGCTCATCCTTCATGTCGTGAGAGGCAAGCTTGTTTACGTCCACCTACAGTGAGGTGAGGTGGGGAGCGCAAAAACGAGGCCGTCCCGAGCTCCAGCTGTAGCGACCTCACCAAGGACAAGGGCCAGTGGTAACCGGAGTACAGTCGCACGTCCGAGCTGTGTTCTGGATTGCGGCGCTGCGCATTAAGTAGAAATGACAAGGAAGTACGAGGCGAATTATGCTCGCGAAACCAAATAGTAAGCCACCCCGCATAAGGCAAACTGTGTTCGTAAAGTGCGACATTGTGACCCGCGCCGTGGAGAAATTGCTCTTTTAATCTGCGTTCGAGAAGTATCTGGTGCTTGAGAGGCCGTTTACTATGTCAACCGTCTGCTGCTCATTGTTGGAGGGGTTGGCATACTAGTTTCGGCTCGTCCCATGGTCGATGATGGGAGTGTCTCCGCTTCTGCCACGGGCGCCGTAAACAGGTTTTTGCGTTTGGCGCCGTGGGGGCCACAGCGAGCGCCCTAGGGTGGGGGTGGTGTGTGTGTGTGTGTGTGTGTGTGTGGTGGGGTACGGGTGGGTGGGTGGGAAAATTTGGGTGGGTGGGGGAGGATCTGGAAGGGTCTGTGAGGGTTTGGGTGGGTTTCGGAAGACTTGGGAGGGTTTTGGATCATTTGGGAGGGTTTGGGAGGGTTTGTGAGGATTTAGGGGGATATCGGATGGTTCTGGAAGATTTGCGAGGGTTTGGGATGGTTTGGGAGGATTTGGGAGGGTTTAGAAGGGTTTGGGAGGATTTGGGAGGATTCGTGTGAAGGTTTGCGTGGGTTTTGGGGGACTGGGGTTTGGGAGTTGTTTTTTTTTTGGGGGGGGGTGGATGGGGGATGGGGTGGGGGGGTGAAGGGTGGTGGTGGTGGTTTGCGAAGGCTTGGGTGGTTTCGGCAGGATGTGGAAGGGTTTGTGAAAGTTTGGGTGGGGTTTGGAGGATATGGGAGGGTTTGGAAGGATGTGGAGGGTTTGGGACGGTTCGGGTGGACTCGGGAGAATTTGGGATTGATTATCATGATTCTATAGGTTTACAGCACATCCGCCGACCCCTCTATAAACTACTGCGCCTCCAGGCCTGCGTTCCGCGAGACTTGTCCGATTCATGACACGGCGCTCGACTTCGTTCCTGTTGCGGGACCCACGTTTCGTCCCGATCCGTTCTCTGGCGGCCCCCGGTGGGCTCGGCGGCGGCTTCCCGCTGAATGCCGAAGGGGTCGAACAACTTTGTCGTGGGCGACGCACATATTCGTACCGGGGGCATTTCCGCGCAGTGCAGGTGGGGTTCGGCTTTGTCGACGATGCGCGGAAGAACGTGAAAGGGCCGCGCGCGAGTCAAACAATCGCAAGCGGCAGTCAGAGGCAGAAGCGAAGCCGCAGGTCAGCTGCGCGGCAGAATGCGGGAAAACGTTCTGGGACATGACTCATTTGATGCCCGAGCAGGTGAAGGAGCACCGAAGAAAAAAAACACGATAGTGATCTGTGGAGAATGTGACATGCGGGCCGTCACCGCGACGGGAGTAACCGATGCTGCGAAACGGTTAAAGCGACTTGCTGACGTGTGCAGCGTGCGAGAATGAGTTCGGTCGGCAGCAGCACATCAGCGACGAACGAGAGAGCAAACACTTTACGAGGCAAAGTGAAGTTGTATGCCCGGGTTGCAGTGCCAACGGTTTCACGGCGCGCAGTTGGCAAGCGTTCCAGTGCTTCGGCGCCTACTCATCAAAACTCCCGAAGTCGACGTTCACGGTTGGACCGCATTTCGCGCGTGCCATCGAAAAACGCACGTTGAAGTGCAAGGCGTGCGCGTGAGACCCGCGGAAGCGTTCGAGGCAGCGCGCGAATGCTCGGAACCGCGGGGGCGGGGGGTGGGTCAGGATCGGGCGGGAGCTATGGGGTTGGAGGAGGAGGAGAGGGAGAAGGCAATGGAGGAGCCCGGCGCTGTCCTCGTTTCCATGCTTCTGCTTGTTTCGAACCGTGTTTCCGCTGCAACTCTGGCTTCCTTTCCGCGTATCCACTCGTTCCGAGTCGTGCTCTCGCACGGTGGAGGGAAAAGGAGAAAGGAAAAAAGGAAAAAGACAAGGCAATGACGGATGAGGAAAAGGAGGCCGTGCCTTCGGCGGGTGCCCGTCGCCGCGGCTAGACGCGGCTCGAGAATCCAATGCGTTCGGGCTCCAAGGGGGGCCAAGGTCTGTTGTCTACTGCCTCTCGGGCAGAATTCCGAATCCGCGGCGAGGAAAACTAGCAAGAATGCGTCGAGTTCAGAGTGGTGTGTGGCACGCTGTGGGATGTCTATTGGGATCTCGTAGCGAGGATTCTCGCGTGCCTCTTCGAGGCAGTTTCGGAGCGTCTTGGGGGCCGTTTTGGGTTTTTTTTGGGCCTCTTGGGGGCTCCTTGGCTTCTTGGGTGCCTCATGGGGGCCTCTTGGGGCCGCCTGGGGGCCCCTTGGGTCCTCTGGAAAGCTTCCTTGGGGGGAGCGTTGGAATTCGCGGTTCGTGGTCCCTCTCTTAGGCCTTTCTTGGGGCCGTCTTGGAGCTCTTGGGCCGTCTAAGGCGCCTTTTGGGCCACGTTGGAGTTCTTTTGGGTTGTCATTGGGGCCTCCTGGGAGCCTCGTGGGCCGTCTTGGGGTGGTCCTGGGGAGCTCGTTGGGGCTTCGTGGACGGTTTGCAACGCCGTGAAAGCTAACAAGTTGGATATGCTGACAATGCACGTTCCCCAGAAGAAATTTCAAGATTTTGGTTTCTTCGGGGCTTTTTGGAGGCTTCCTGGAGGCTTCGTGGGGTGTTTTGGCGGCCTTTAGGGCCGTTTTGAGTTCATCTTGGGCGTCTTGGAACGATCTGTCGGCGACTTTGGGGTCGCGTGGGCCGTCTTGGCGGCTTCTTGGGAGGCGTCAAGTGCCGTCGTGCAGCTCAAGAGCGAGCCCAGGGAACCCCGGGGGCCTCTTGGGAGCAATTTTAAGGCCTCTTGGGGATTGTTTTGGGGCCTCCTGGGGCCCCTTCTTGGGCCTCCTGGGTGCCTCTTGGCGCCTCTTGGGCGCCTCTTGGGGCCTCCTGGGTTCCTCTCGGGGCGGAAAGCTACGATTTTCACTTCGTGTTCCTTTTCTCGGGCCCCTTTTGGGGCCGTCTTGGGGCCTATTGGGCCGTCTTGGACGCCTCTTGGGTCGTCTTGGGGGGGCGTCTTGGGGCGCTCTTAGGCCGTCTCGTTTTTTTTGTTGGGGGGTCTCGGGGACTTTTTGGGCCAGCCGAAAAGGCGAAACCGCCCAAACCAATCAAAACCATAACACATAACGGTTTTTTGCCTCTTGGGGTCCTCTTGGGAGGCATTATGGTGGCCTCTTGGGGCGTCTTGGAGGCCTCTTGGGCCATCTGGAAGCGTCTTCGAGCGATCGTTCGGCGACTCGGTGCCCTGTTGGACTATCTTGGGGGCCTCATGGAAGCCTTGTAGAGAGAATCCCAGGCAGGCGCCATGGCCGCCCAGGGACCCTCCTGGAGTAGGGGTGGTTTACTCGGCTGGGAGCTACCGAAGCTGGTGGGGGGGTCCTTTAGAAGACTACAACCTCTTTTGACAGGCAGCCTTTGGCATTCTCACGCCCCAACCTGCCGCAGACACGGTGGCGGATTACGCGCCATTGGAAAGGGATGTTTGGCAGGGGTCGGATGTCAGATGTGGCGCGACCGCGCCCAGTTTTCCCCTGTACCTTTACCCTGTGCAGGTACTCAAGTGCTACTCCCTTATCCCCCTGACAATGTCAATGATGAGATTCGCCACTGCCGCGTGCTGCTTCCACACAGGCACTTGTTACGTAATGTATTGTTTTTCGAATTGGGACGTGTTCGGTCCTTCACATTGGTGTTGTCGGGCAGCATGTGCCATATTTCAAGATCGGTACATTGTTCTCGTTGTTCAGGATAGCACTCTTGACTCGGCACGGGCCGTTTGTCTGGATCCGATTCCTTCTCGCTGTTGCCGTCCCCCTCTTTTCCCGCCCTCCACATTCCCCTGTTCCTCCCGCTCCTCGCGCTCCTGCTGCTCTTGCTCCTGCTGCTTCTCCTCCTTTCTTTCGGCTCTGCTGCGCCTTGCCCTCACCCGAGCGCACCCCGAGGCCAGTCGGAAGGGCGGACCGGGCGTTTCGCTTGATATTCCCTTACCATTCAGGATCCGGGAGCTTATGCGTTTGCGACAGTTTCACACATGGAGGGCGGGCGGTTTTGAACATGTGGCCCTCGCCTTGGCGCCGCGCGCTCTCATCTTACAAGTTGCAAGAGTTGCACGGATGGAAGCGGGTTGTTTTCAACATGTAGTGATCGCTCTAGCGCCGCGCACATTCGAGAGCTTCACAGATGGGGGTCGGGTCGTTTTCAATCTGTTGTTCTCGCGGTGGCGCCGCGCGCATTTGTCTTACCAGAACGCTGCAAGTTTTTCGCGGTGTTCAAGTCCTAGGAACGGTGTTCTGTCACGGTTCAGGATCATCAAGACGACACAGTCAGATTGATTCGTGGCATTGGGGTCCCGATCATGGTGCTCACGCTTCAGGAGCTTCGAGCGGTTGTCTCCCAATGGGGCATCTTCCTCCGTGGAAATGAGTCATTGTGTGGGGCCTGTGAAGAGGGAGCTTGGAGGGGGGGTGTATTCCAATATCGTTGGTGAGTCTTGGGTTTACATTGGTCCTCCTTCTCCCCCTCCTCTCCTCCACCTCCTCCACGTCCCCCGCCGCGCCGTCTCTAATGTGGAAAAGGCGCTCTCGCGCGCCTCCCCCCCGCCCCGCCGATTATGCAGCAAACGATGGGTAAAATCCAACACCTGTCTTTTTATTGGGATCAAGGTCTTCTACAACCCTCGGCAACATTAAACTCAAAACATGCGCCATGTCTCGTACGGTAGGTTCGCGTCGCGTCGGCGCGGCAAACCCCAGCGCGGGCGTTCAAGGTTGGACGACGCCAGTGGTCCAGAGTCGGACGACGTGTACGATCTAGGTTCTTGAGACGCTGTTACCGTCCAACCAGAGGCCAGCGCGCAAGTCGTCAGACAAAGAACGTACGGTATTTGCGCACGTGATTGCCCGGGATTGGATGTCAATGAGTGCGGCGTATTTGTTGGCGCCTCCCCTCCAATGTCGGTCAGCATGGAACTGCCGAGTCGCACCCCCCAGAGCATGCGTCGGCTTTCTTCGACATTTGAGGGGCCGACATTGCAGGGATGCCCAAGGCGTTTTCCAGTTTCATTTTGTCGAGGATTTGTAGGATACCCCAGTTGGCGGGCAGGAGAGGATTCAACGCAATGGGATGCGATGGGTGGGAGGGGTTCGGATGTCATATGTGGCACGATTAATCATAGCTTGCTCCTCTTCCCTCACCCCTCCCCTCCCCCTCCCCCTCCCCCTCCCCTTCCTCTCTCCTGGTCTTCCCCTCCCCCTCTGGGCCCTCCAGGCTTGCCTTTCGCACGATACGCCCTGGCCTCGGCTGCGGCCAACGTCCGAGGACGACGACAACCCCGATGTGCACGAGAAGGGCTGCAACGAGGCCTCGGGGCACTACCACTGGGCCTGCGCAGCCCGTCGGTGGCGCCTGCACAGGACCGAACCACCCGCTGCCCGCCAGTGCGGCGGTTCGTGGTGTACTAATGTAATCGGGAGTCCAACCACCGCGCCGCCCGCGCCCGCGTCGTGGTCCATCACGCCCAGGGTGCCGAAACGGCGTTCGACATCTAGTGGCGCTCGCTGGCGACCCCACCCGTGTCTTTGTCGACACGCAAGCGGTGGTGGACACGTTTCGGGCCATCCTCGGCGGTGGACTCCTCCCTGGTGGCCCGCACGCCGCTGCGCAGGCCAAGCTTGGTTCCCCAACGTTGATAAGGTGAGCAGCTAGCTCGGCCAGGACGATGTCGAGTCTGGCCTCATCAGCGCAATGGCTGAGGCGGCATGAGGTGCCGTTGACGTTGTCGTGCCGGCTGAATGACGAAATCGTCGTGCGATGGCGCTCCGGAAGACCGCGGTCACCACCAATGATCTCCTGCACTGCCCGAGGCCACTGACGCACCGCGAGGCGGGATACGCAGCCGTGCAGCCCGAAGCCATAGAACCGCACCGTGTCTGAGCCGCCGCGAAAGGCAGACGTGGTGGTCGCAGACGCTGGCCACGCTGCCGCCCTTGCCGAAGTCGCGCGCCTCGGAGGGGTCATCGCCGAGGTGGAAGCGGCCGAGGACCCGCGCGACTCGGGTTTGCACATGGGGTACGCTGAACCCTGACCTCCTCCCTGATCCTTACCCAGGCCGACACGAGCCCGACCCTGAAGAAGACGTCTGCTGGTTCGGATGTGGCCGGGGCCCACCATCCCCTGCCGCGGCCTCTCCATCCTCGGTGGCCGCGCCAGCGCGAGCCTGCCTGCGCGGGCGCCCAATCCCGCTGGCGTCTCTGGTCCACCCATCGGTCTTGGACTTGGTGCTGGCTCCTCGGAAGCCTACATGCCGGGTGTGGAACTGCACTGGCGCTCTCATTCCTTGGCAAGTCGTCTTTTTCGAATGCCTTCTGGGGCGCCCACTGGGTCGCCTGGCGCGACGCTGCCCCGCAGCGTAGCTTGTGCTAGCCTGCTCGTTTCCGCGGGCCTCGGGGTTGCGAGATTCCTTATTTTGAGAACACTTCAGGTTCGCTTCTCTTTTGCGAGGCACGCGCGTCTCGGACATGGAGTAAGACACCACACGTCCAGCGCGTGCTTTACGCGGAATTCCAGCGGCTCCCTCGGTTCGGTCAGCTCATCTGCCGCGCGGGCACGCTGGAGAGTGTGAGCCTTGCGCAGACACGCGTGTCCGCCTTGCGCCGTCTCCGCCTTCTGCCTCCGCCCACCCCCTCACTCTGGCGTCACCCCCCAACCATTCAGCGCCCTTCTCCTCCTCCTCCTTCCCCTTCAATCCTCCAGCGCTTCCCCCTCCAAGGGAGGCGGGGGGGGGGGCACGTCCGCGCGGAGGGCCATGTCGTCGCCGTCTGCACACCGTTGATGCCGCCGCCGCCGCTGATGCCGCCGCAGCCGCCGCCGCCGCCGTCGTCGTCGTCATCGTCGTCGTCGTCGTCGTCGTCGTCGTCATCGTCGTCGTCGTCGTCGTCGTCGTCGTCGTCGTCGTCGGAGTGTGCCCGTCTCGCCCCCGTCGGGGCGGGAGGTTCGCGCTGGCTGCTGGGAGGCGCTCAGCGCTGCGCTTGCCGAGGCCGGCCTGCTGGGGGAGGGGAGGAGTTGCCAGCCTCCTCTCTTCTCTCTTCCCTTGCTGGCGGGTGGGCGGTGAACGTGGGGGAGGGGAGGATTGCTCGTCCCCCTCCTTTCCCTCCCCTTCCTGCTGGAGGGGCAGGGGCGGAAGGGAGGGCCGCGCGGGGAGGGGGAGGGGACGAGGTGCTCCCATTCCTCCTCCTCCTCCTCCTCCTCCTCCTCCTCCTCCTCCTCGCCCTCACGCAACACCCCGACGCGCGTGCCTTCAGGACACCGAGGCCTTCCCTCTTCCTCCCTCTTCCTGCCTCTCCTGCCCCACCTGCCCTGGCGCGTGCCCTCTGGCGGCCGCCGGCGGCGGCGGCAGGCTGGCGCGCCGCGCCTGCGGCCCGCCGGCCGGCGGCTGGAGCGGTGCGCGTGCTGCCGGGCGCCCGGGGCTCGGCGGGCGCAGCCGGCCCGGGAGGCGCCCGGGGATCCCCGCCACGCGCGCGTGCTCGTCGTCGTCGTCGTGGTCGTCGTCGTCGTCGTCGTCGTCGTCGTGGTCGTCGTCGTGGTCGTCGTCGTCGTCGTTGTCGTCGTCGTCGTCGTCGTCGTCGTCGTCGTCGTGGTCGTCGGCGTCGGCCTCGGCGTCGGCGTCGGCGTCGGCGTTGGCGTCGGCGTCGTCGTCGTCGTGGTGGTGGTGGTGGTGGTAGTGGTGGTGGTGGTCGTCGTCGTCGTCGGCCCACATCCCCGTGGAGGGAGCCGGAGGCGGCCAGCAACTGGGAGGAGGTGATTAGGGGGGAGTTAGGGTGGAGCGAGGGTTGAGGGGGATGTTGGGAGGGGGAGGAGGATTCCTTCGCACCTTCTCCCCACGTCCTGGTCCTCCCTCTCCGCCCTCAGAACTCGGCCTCCGTAACCTCTGATGGGGCGCACTCCAGTCAGGACCTCGAGCCAGACCCGAGCGTGGCCGCGAGGGCCCCTCGGAGCCCCCCCTATGTCTGGGTTTGGGGGCTCATGTACTTTCGCAGTGTCTCGAGGTCGAGAACGATGTGAGAAAGAACGTTGAGGTCCCCTCCTCCCCCTCTTCCGATAATCCGACGTCAGGGTTTTGCTGTGCCGTGGGCTCCCAGACCTCGCGACCCCGTCCCAGGGACCGGTGTTCAGTCGCGGGCAGGTTTGCTGATGGCCCCAGGGCCCGCAGCGAGCTTTCGGAGGCCGAAAACATGGAACAATCTGCGGTCATGATTTCATCGTGCCGCTGGTTGAGGAGGGCTCCCCTCCCCCGTCGCCAGGCCTTGGATTTGGGCGTCCGGCGGGAGCGCCCTCACCCTGGAGGCTGGCCCGCCGGGGTCGCGCCGCGCACCAAGCAGAGGCGGCGCCAGCACGTCCGCTTTGCCAGTGTAAATAGCCCTTAGTGCAGAACTGCACCCTGTGGCCTCCAGCTGGTGTCTCTCTTCCTTCCATCCTTCCATCCTTCCTTTCTTCCCTCCTTCCTTCCGTCGCCAGGCCGCGATGCTGGACGCGCAGGACATCGTCTCGGGCCTGGACTCCGAGCTGCTGCTACTGGCCTCGGCCTCGGCATCCGAGGGGCCCTGTGGCCCTCTCCTCCCATCCTGCTCTCCCGTCCCCCTCCTCTCCTTAGCAGGAGGAGGCGGATGAGTTGGTGCGGGGGGATGGTGTCGAAGGCGGGGGATGTCGCTCCTCGGGAAGCTGCTCGCTTTCAAACGTCGCCCAGGCGACCGCCGGGCATCGTTCTTGGCCCAGGCAGCGAGGCTGCTGTAGGGATGATTCGCACTGCGCGACGAATGTCACTGTATTTTGGCGTGCCCTGAAGGGAGCGCGCGCGTGAACCTCTCAGCGGGACTAACTCTCGACGCTTCACGTAGTAGCTCCAGCTCTTTGGAAACGATGCCCAGGCAAGTTGCCTTGGATCAGGACAGTGCAGATGTATGCAGTGGAATTTGCTTTGGATCAGCCTGGTCAGACCCAGAACGAGGACGGAAGCGAGGACGACGAAGAAGAGGAGGCGGACGAGGAGGAGGATGAGGAGGAGCAGGAGTAGGACGAGGAGGGAATGACGAGGACGGGGAGGATGAGGAGGGGGACGAGGAGGACGAGGAGGGCGATGAAGGGAAGGACGAAGACGAGGAGGAGGAGGAGGAGCAGGAGGAGGAGAAGGATGAGGATGAGGATGAGGATGAGGATGAGGATGAGGATCAGGATGAGGATGAGGAGGAGGAGGAGGAGGAGGAGGAGGAGGAGGAGGAGGTGGAAGAGGACGAGGAGGAGGAGGATGAGGAGGAGGAGGACGAAGACTCTTCTTGGGCCACCTGGAGGCCCTCTTAGGGTCCTCTTGGGGCTTACACGCGGTCCTCCTGGAGCCCTCTTTGCTATTTTGGAGGGTCTTGGGGTCCTCTTGGGGCTCCTTTTGGGGGTCTTAGAGTTCCGTTGGAGCCCTCTTGTGGGCCTTGGAGGGCCTCTTGGGGCCATCTTGGAGGGTGTCGAGCAAAAAAGAGGGGGTCCCCGAATTGCCTCTTCGCTTTGGGGCCATCATAATCGCCTCTTGGGGCCCTCTTGGGGCGCCTCTAGGACGCCTTGAGGCGGTCTTGGGGCCATCTTGGGGGCCTCTTGGGCCCCTCTTGGGGCTCTCTTGGGCCATCTTGGGGCCATCTGGAGGCCTCGAAACCGCAGGGGAAGCAAAAAGGCGAGAAGGCAATTCGTCGCATGATCCTTAGGGTTTTGAAGCACTTCGGCGTCTCGGGGAAGTCCTCAGGGGGGCTCCGAGATCACTTGGAGCCGTCTTGTGGTCTTCTTGGGACCTCTTGGAGGCATGGTCGAAACCATCTTGAACAATCTTCGGCTACCCAGGGCCATCTTGGGGTCCATCCTGGGCCACCCTGGGCGCTCTGACCGCTGGCGCCCTTCCCCCCAGCAGAAACCTCAGGGAGCGGGGGGGAGGGTACCCCTCCCGGTGGGAAGAGGTGTCTTGGAAGACTGGACGTCGCGTAATGGGGGGCGATACATGGGGGGGCACCGAGGGTTGCAGGAAAGGCGCTCTTTGGGGCCCCTCAAGGGGCCCTGTAGGGCCCGAAAGGTCCGAAACGCATCTAGGGCAGAGGAGGAAAGGATAATCTCGTTTGACCACCTACGCCGTACAATGCTAGCGGGATCATCTGGCAGCCGCGTGAGTGCAATGTGGTCGTGAGTGGTGGGGCACCACGCGGGCAGGCTTGAGTGAAAAGTGTCGTCGCGTTGGCGTCATTGGTCATAATGGCCATTTGTGGGTGTCGCGTCTAGTTGGGGTATGTGTTCGTTGTTGTTCACGGTGCTGGCTGGAGGCAGATGCGCGACGAAGGTGGGACGATGGCACGCTGGATGCAGCTGGTCCTTGTTTTCGAAAGGTTGGCGTGTGTACGCAGATGGATCTGTTCCTTACCGAAGAGACACCAGAACGTGAAAGCATGCCTGCATCAATCAACCCGCTCTTAGCCCTCACGCCGACATTTGTTTGACCATTCATGGGGCCTTCCGAAGAGTAGACCTTGGTGAAAGGTGGAAAAGCACCAGAGACGGTATTCGAAAACACCGTGTGAAGATTTGCCCTTATCACTGATTGCAAGCCCATTGCTGGAGTGATCAAAGACAATGCTGCGCTAAACCACCCTCGTACACACATACACACATATATATATAGATGTATATGTATATGGATCTGTATCCTTCTCCATCCCTTCTCTTCCATCCTTAGTACCTTATTAGTTCTCCTCTCACTCCCCTCCTTTCCCTTCTCTTACTCCTTCTGCCTCTGCTGCTGCTCCTCCTCCTCACCATTTCACCTACCTTACCCGATCCCGCATAATTTACCGTGCTTGGCGATACCCTATCTTATGTACTCTACCTCATCTTTCCCTCGCCGCCGCCCTCGCCTGCATTCCCCCAGCCAACTGATAGCTGTTGCTTCCCTTTCGCTGTCGCTTTTGCTTCTGCTTGCTCTCCCTGAAGCCACCTCCTAGTTCTCCTCCACTGTTCCCCCCTTTCGCCTCTTCGTCCCGATCCTCCGCTTCTGTGTGCTCCCCTTGCTCCCCCACTCTCCCCTTTGCCTCTTCCTCTCCCTTCCTTCTACTTCTCGTATTCTTCCTCGTCCTCCTCGTTCAGCCGTTTTCATCAGGAATTCCCTCGGCGCTGGCCAAGGGGCCCACATGGCTGCAGATGGATCACAGGCAGCGGCCAAGGGGCCTTCCCCAGTGGTGCACACGCTGTGGGTTGGTGAGCGGCTTCCTGACTGGGTGGCCGGGGAGGACGCCAGCCTGTCCACGCACACAGATCTTCGCCAGGCCCATCCTGTGCCCAGGATTGGTCGGGCTAGGATCGGTGGTGCGTGGGCAAGCGGCGTCCTTCTAGGTGGTGCACTGCGTCGCCTCCTACCTGCACACAGGCAGGAAACCCTTGCAGCGCCAATCGGGCAGATTCCATATCCCTCCCTTCCTCCCCTCCGCTTTCCCTTTCTCATCCTTCCCACCTCTCCCTGCTCGCCTCCCCTTCTCCCTCCGCCCTCCTCTTCTTCCGGTTCCTGACCCCCTTGTCCTGCTTCCTCTCCTCCTCCCTCCCTCCTCTGCCTATGGCTCCGCCTTCACATCACCCTCGGCCTCCGCCTCCTCACCCTTCTCTTCCTCGCCCTCGTCCTCGCCCCCTCTTCCCCCTCCCCCTCCTCGTCCTCCTCCTCCTCCTCCTCCTCCTCCTCCTCCTCCTCCTCCTCCCTCCCCCCTCCTCCCTCCTCCGCACTCCTCCTCCTCCTCCTCCTCCTCCTCCACCTCCACCTACACCTCCTCCTCCTCCCGAGCCGCTCCTTCCAGGGCAGGGTGGCCGCCCCGCTGGGGCCCGCGTCCGAGTTCCACCCAGCAGACTTGAGACCGACATTGCCGAGGTGGAGGCGCCAATACTCACGGTCTTGCTGCTGCAGGCGCTGGGATTGCAGCGGCAGTGGGATGGTGGCGCCCTCTGCGAGGGGCGCGCTCCAGTGATTCGCGACGAGGTGATTGGGCAACCTGCGCTCGACGAGGCAGGTGCGTGCACCTCGGAGGAGCTGGCCGCGCAGAACGAGCCTTGCAACCAAGGTGCCAGGAGGGGTGCCTCACTTGCAGCCCGTGGGCTGGGCGGACAGTGGTGCATGCGCGATGGCGGCTAGCAGCGAGCCGCCCAGCTGCTGGGAGTGCAGGACTGCGCTGAAGGGTGGCCAGCCCAGAACCAATAGGGCAAGCAATGCACATGCCGCTGCGCTACGTGCTCCACTACTGCTACAACACTTTCAACGTGCGGGTGGCAATTGAATTTCATGTTTTTTTTGTGCAATCCATCGTCGTAGCTTCTGCCATGCCAGCGTGGCAGTGTATCGGTTGCGTTTGTCTTTCATTTGATGCGTTTAATCCGTACGGGCTTCGCACTTTGCCGCCAGCCCCCATTCCATTATGAAGGGATATGCCAGAGCTATGTTGGGACGCCTGGGCGCCGACTTGAAGCACTATCGGAATCTCATGTGAGGACGGCTGGTAAAGTTGACGTCATTGACAAGGAATCGTGACCTCGGGGGCGTGAATCTGACGTAACTTGTGAGGGATCGTCGCCTCGGGGGCGCGAAGCTAGTGTAATTTACTAGACAGCGTGGCCCCGGGGGCTCGAGCTTATGTTCATTTGCAAAGATTCGTGGCCTCGGCGGCGCGACTATGGCGTGATTTACGGGGCTCGTGGCCTTGGGGGCGAGAGAGGTTTGCAGAGCTTTTACAACCTCCTCGAGGAGATCGTCTGGCCGACCACGGATCACAGCATCACATATGCCTTTGGAGACATCAGCGCTCGTCTGCGTTATTCGGGTATGTCAGAAGACCACGTATTTTGATCATATGTGTTCAAAGCGCTGCCCCAGCAGGACGGTCAGAAGCTCTCGACATCGAGCCAGCAGCTTCTATTCGGATGCTGCGATGCGTGCGAGCTCATTGGTGCCAATACTTCCTTCGACACCCCCCCGACATGCAAGTTTCGTATCTTGATCTTGGCACGCATCCCATGGAGGGAATATCGCCAGATCTCTTCGCCCAACTCGACCACGTTTTATGCCACCGAGGTGCCCTGCCAACTATCTCGGCTTGTTTGACGAGTCGGGCTTGCGCACTGAATAGCCACCATTTCCTCGCGATCGCCGAGGTAATTGTGGAATTCAAGACAGACATCCGACTGCGACAGGAACCAGTTGACAAAGCCATCCTTGTGCACCGCAGCAGATTTAAATCAGAGGTTCACGGACACATGTTCCGACCAGCCAGGCTCTCTGCACGACGCAGCTCAGGAGGTCCGTTCTGCTTTCGCTTGCGCTGCCGGTGCAGTTCCTGGCAGGGCTCCCCCAGCGATGCGGCCATGGACAAGCCGAGCAACAATTCAATTGATCATGCAACGGGATGCGTGCCGCGAGGCCGCGAAGTCTTGCGATCAAGATCTCAAAGATTGGCTGGATGAATTCGCTCGCGGAGGGAGCTGGGAAACTACCTGGTACCTCCGACAGCCTCGTCTTGTGAAGCATGCTTCTATAGAAAACCAGATGGCACTCTGAGCGAGTCGGTGGGCATAGCGAACGTTTTGGCAGAATGTTTTGAGAAAGTGCAGTGGCAACGACGTTTTGATTACACGAGTCCCGCAAGTGATACGCCGCTTGGGCCCCTACCTTGCCGACCAACACTCATCGTTCACGCTGGCTGGACTCCGACGAGCTTTGGAAATACTCTGGGTTTGCCAATGAGTGCTGGGAGCAGAAAGCTATTCCAGATTCGTGGCGGCGCGTAGGAGCCGTGTACTTATTCCAGAAAGCGACGCTATACTTTCAGCATCCTGCCGGCCAACATCACCATGGCTCGTCGGATACAGGGCACTGGCGTCTATGCTGCTTCGCAGGTTGATTGGTGGTTGCGCCGATGCGTGGGTGCGAGCTTCACAATACGGCCTTCGCCTTGGCATTGCGGACGCGCTAATGCTGGTGATTCGTATGATAGACGATGCGCGCATCAACCTCTCCATCGGGATGCTGCCTCTGATGCTGGGCTGGGTAATAGCACTTGAGAGTGTGATGTCGGACATCACGTGAGTTACTGCGATACCCATGGAAATGGTTAGGATGATGCGGGAGATCTACGATCCCTTGTATCCCGTCATGCACGATCACACGGGCTTGTCTTCAGAGAGGCGTCAACCAGCAGGCGTTGCCCAATTGTGCCCCCTCAAAGGGTGCCCACTATCATGCTATCTTTTTATGGCCGTGCGAAGTGGCCTCCTGCACGACGTGTTCGACCGCGCCGGTCTTCATGACGAACTTGCATTCTTGGTTAGAAGCGGTTGTCGATATGCGGATGGCAGATTTTTGGCTTCGCAGCACCAAAAAGACTAGAAATTTCTGGTCAACGCGGTTGTCGAGGAATGCAGCGGGTTGGAACTGAACTGGGATAAGACAGTTCGGTTGCAATTTCGGAAGGAATGCGGATTACGAGACCACATGGTGTGCCGACTTGTCCGGTGTGAGAAGTCGTATATATAGGTGGGCGCATTACTTGCGATGGAAAGAAGTGTCCTGACGCATTGAGGAAACGAGTCGGGTTCTCAACAAGCTGCGGAAGATGTGGTCCCATTCGTCCGTAGGCCTGGCACGAAAGCTGAAGATCTACGAGGCGTGCGTGCTGAGCACGCTGCTGTGCTCCCTCGATTGTGTACGGCTCCTCTGGGCTGAAAGGCTCCGGCTCGATAGTTTCCATTGCAGAAGCCTCATGTGAATATTGGGTATCTTTTGTTCATGCGTCTCACGAGTCACCAGCAATGACATTTCACGCAGGGCGTAAGCGATATGGCTTTCCGACATTGGCTTCGCGGCAGCTCATCTTCTACATAAGGATCGCGAACAGCGGCGCCGGCTCTTTAGTCAGGCAAGTGCTTTGCAATTCAGGCGAAACCCCGCGACGAAGTTGTCGCCAGCAGCAGTGGGCAACCAAATTGCGCACAATGGAGTAATATTCTCGCGCTTTGTTGTAGTTCGCCTGCTTCTCCTCTGGCTCTTTTTCCTCCCTCTCTTCCTCCTTTTAGGTTGCCTAGTCTGACCGATGGTATACAGGATTGTTGGCGAGGATTTCGCCGCAACGAGTCATGGCAGGAGCCGCGAACGCCCTTGCCGACTAGCCCACGCGTCCTTCAGGATGCAGGGTCATCTTGCTTGCGGGGCCTCGGGGGTGCGAAACTAACGTACTTTACAACGGGTTATGGTCTCGCGAGCGCGAGTCTGCTGTACGTCCATCTGTCTTGTACCCCTTGAGAATCGCTGAGGGCCCTGGGTGGAAGGGGGGGGCGGTGGCCAGTGTAGTTTTCTCCCCGCCCCCCTCCCCTCGCGCAGACCGTCAGAATGTACGGTCGGATGCATAAACTAGAACTATAACGCTGAAATCTGGAAACTTGTATTGGTTCACCCTACAAGGAACCTCTGCTGCGCAGCCACCTGGCCCCCAAAGGGGTCGGCGGGCTTGTTGGGCCTTCCAGTGTGTTCTCGATTCAAGATTGGAGTCGCGGACGGGCAGCTCGTGGTGCACACATGCTGTAGTCTTTGCGCCTCTGACCTTGTATAAGTCCTGTTCTCTTGATTCGCTGCAAACGCTGAGGCTATTCCGAGTCCGTGTCATCTCACACGTGGGCATGCGTGTTTACAATATTATGCAGCAGGAGTGTCGCCAATCGTGTCCTGAGCCGTTCCCGCGTTGTGCATCAGCCGTTTTCGGTGGTTGATCGAGGCTGAGGGCACCGCGAGTTTTTCTATTGCCTTGTGGTCAGAATTCTCGGCCGAACCGTATCCCGAACCATGCCGTCCTCCCCATTATCCTCCTGCTCCATTGTTCCTCTTCGCTCGTTTCCCCCCCGTGTACCTCCTCCTTCTCCCTCTCCCCATCCTTTTTATTTTCGGGGTCGTCGTTTGTCCTCCGCCTCCTCTTCTTCCTCCTCCTCACCTGTCTTCTCTCATCCCCCGCCACCCTCCCTCCCTCGCGCGGGAACTCCGCTTGCGTGCGCGCGAGGGTTTTCGTTTCAGGGCACGCGGTGGCCTGGTGGATGTACGTCAGCGAGGACGAGGGACTGGGCGCCTCCTTTTGCTCCTCGTGTTCATCCTCTTCCTGCTGATGCTGCCGCTCCTCCTGCTCCTGCTCCTGCCCCTGCTCCTACCCCTGCTCCTCCTCCTCCCCTCCTTCCCTCCTCCTCCTCCTCCTCTTCTCTTCTCTTCTCTTCTCTTCTCTTCTCTTCTCTCTCTCTCTCTCTCTCTCCTCTCCTCTCCTCTCCTCTCCTCTCTCTCTCCTCTCTCTCTCCTCTCCTCTTCTCTCCTCTCTCTCTCTCTCTCTCTCTCTCTCCTCTCCTCTCTCTCTCTCTCTCTTCTCTCCTCTCTCTTCTCTCTCTCTCTCTTCTCTTCTCTTCTCTTCTTCTCTCTCTCTTCTCTCTCTTCTCTTCTCTTCTCTTCTCTTCTCTTCTCTTCTCTTCTCTTCTCTTCTCTTCTCTTCTCTTCTCTTCTCTTCTCTTCTCTTCTCTTCTCTTCTCTTCTCTTCTCTTCTCTTCTCTTCTCTTCTCTTCTCTTCTCTTCTCTTCTCTTCTCTTCTCTTCTCTTCTCTTCTCTTCTCTTCTCTTCTCTTCTCTTCTCTTCTCTTCTCTTCTCTTCTCTTCTCTTCTCTTCTCTTCCTCCTCCTCCTCCTCCTCCTCCTCCGCCCTCATGGCTGGCCTGTTGGCAGGCGAATTCCCAGCACGGACCCGTAGTTCCTCAAACAGCTTGTTTGCCAAAGGTCGACATCTTGCTCGTGCGAAGGGTTGGGGGGGCCTCTGCCAGCCACGGCATCGGTGACTCCATGATCTCCCGCATGGCCTACCGTATGGTCTCCCCTACGGTCTCCCCCTACGGTCTCCCGCATGCTCTCCCGCAGGGTCTTTGGTATGCTTTCCGGTATGCTCTCCCGCGTATCGTGCTAAAGGTCTTCTGCCGTCAGGTTTTTGTCTTGATTGGATCGCGGCTTCGGGAACGCGGATCCATTGCCCCTTCCTCGCTCAGCCTTCCCTCACTCCCTCCGTCCTTCCTGCCTCTTCCATTCTGACCTCCCACTGAGCCCCCCCGAGCGCCCAAAGCTTCCTCAGGGCCCTGCAGCCCATCCGTGCTTACATCGCCCCACCCCGTCCCCTCTGGGGGCCCTTTCCGCACCCACCCTCATGGATGGGGCCGAATGGGGGCAGGGGGCCGGTAGCGCCTCTTGGTGCTGCTGCAGCTGGGGCCAGGTACTCCTGTCACGCCTCCCCTCCTCCCCCCCACTCCCTGCACGCCGTGCCTGCCAACACGCCTCGCACGCAAGTTCGGTGGCCGATTTCGTTACCCAACATTCTCATCGCCATCTGAGGGCTACGGCCCTACCGCCGCGCTCCTGAAAGGGGCCGTCTTCCCGAACGTTTTCGGTGCTCCGCTTCTTCCCCTGGTCTCCGAACACAAATATCCGAGACGTGCCCAACTCCTTTTCCAGGCGAGGCGACTAATCATACAAAAACAAACACGCTGCGAGATATGCAACACTCTGACACGCTTCGCCAAAAAAACGTCGAGCGACAAACCCGACAAGAAACACATAACGACTGACAGACATGGAGAAGGAGAAACAGAAGCCGCGGGACTGTGGAGTACCTCTTGTGTTCCAGAGGAATTTTCGTAGCCTTTTCCCTTCCCATCGTCATTTTTATTTTATTTCGTTTTTTTTTTTTTTTTTTTTTAGTTTCTCTCTCTCTCTCTCTCTATTCACCTTCTTTAAACTATACAGTCAGTTTGCCAGCAAATTCACTAGTCTGCTCAGCCCGCAATCAGCTTGCCATCTTTGCCTGCGCAATCCTGGTAAGCCCTGCCACGCCCTCGTCGTTTTTTATTTACGCCTTGCTAAGCTTTGGCACCCCCCTGTAGGCCCTGCTAAGCTTTGCTATGCTCTGCGAAGCCTTGTTAAGCCCTGGTAAACCCTGGTAAGCCCCCATGTTACGATAAACCTTGCCACGCTCCGCGCAGCTTTGGTAAGCTTTGAACTTCTGCTAAGCCCTGCTAGCCCGTGGCAAGCCTTGATAAGCCCTGCTAGCCCTTGCTGAGCCTTGCTCAGCCTCTTGGCAAGCTGTGCTAAGCCCTGCTAGGCCTTGCGAAACCCTGAGGTTTAAGCCCTGCTGAGCTTTGCTGACCCCCGCTAAGACCTGCTGGAATATGGGAAGCCTTGCTCAGCCTTAGTAGGCCCTGCGAAGCCCCGGTCGACAGTAGACCTTGTAAAGCTTTGCTGAGCCCTGTGGCAAGCTCTGCTAAGCCCTGCTAAGTCCTGGTACGCTCCGTTGAGCACTGCTAAGCTTTGACAAGCTCTGCTAAGCCTGGGTAAGCCCTGCTAAGCCCTGCTATTTCTTGGTAAGCCCTGCTAAGGCCTGCTAAGCTTGGTAAGCCTTGCTCAACGCTGCTAAGCCTTGCTGAGCCTTGCTCGGCCTTCGCAAGTTGTGTTAAGCCTGGCTAATTTTTTTGCGAAGCTTTGAGCTCTGCTAAGCCCTGCCAAGCCTTGCTAAGACCTGTTACGCCTTGCTAAGCGTTGGTACGCCCTGCGAAGCCCCGGCATACCTTGCAAAGCCCTGCTGAGCCTTGCTCGGCACTGCGAAGCCCTGGCAAGCTCTGATGAGCCCTGCCCAGTTCTGGTACGCCATGCTGAGCACTGCTAAGCTGTGGTAGTATTTGCTAAGTCCTGGTGCGCCCTGCTGAGCCCTGCTAAGCTTGGGAAGCCTTGCTAAACTTCGCTGGGCCCTGGTCTATGTTGCTCAGCCCAGGTAAGCTCTTGTAGACCCTGCTAAGCCATGCTATCCAGCTAAGGGTTGCTACTCCCTGGCAGTCTCTGCTAAACACTGTCGAGTCTTGCGAAGCCCAGCGAAGCCCTGCGAAGCCTTGGCAAGCTGTGCTCAGCTTGAGTAAGCTTCGGTAAGCCCTTGTAACCCCTTGGTAAGCTTTGCGAAGCCTTGGTGAACTTTGTTGAGTCATGGTAAGCCATGGTAAGCGTTGCATCATAACATGGCGTCCTTGGTAAATAGTCCTGAGTGGGGAATCCTTGATCAGGGATCCTTAGTGAGGGACCCTTAGCCCGGAACCCTTAACCATGAGTCTTAGTTAGGGAGTCTTTCTGAAGGAATCTCTAGTAGGGGCCAATCGTAGGGATTATATAATAAGGAATCCCCAGTCATAATCCAGAGTATGGAGCCCGAAGTAAACAGCCCTTAATAAGGAATACCTCGAAGAGAAAATGGTTCGTTAACAATGGCTCACTGGCAGGGAATCCTTGGTACAGGATCCTGTGTAGCGCGTCCTGATATACGTGTGTGTATATATATGTATGTATACATCCAAAGACAGCACGTAATCAGGACTCCCGAGCCGAATATCCTTCGTACGGGATCCTCGGTAAGGAAGCCATGGTAAGGGTTTCGTAGTAAAGAATCCTCTTTTGTTGCTTCCCAACAAATAGTGTCTGCCACCATTTTTTGTTTGAGGGGGAACGCACGGTGGCTCTTCTGAGGAGTAGGGGAGGAGGTGGTGGAGGAGGAGGAGGAGGCGGAAGAGGAAGAGGAGGAGCAGGAGGAGGAGGAGGAGGAGGAGGAGAAGGAGGAGTAGGCGTAGGAGGAGGGAGAGGAAGAAGCCACAGAGCACGCACAGAATTCAAAGACGCACGCGCGAATTCCGTGTGAAATCCTCGCGTGCGCGTGCCCCCTCGACCCCGAGGTACTCCACGATCCCCCGCTTTCGAGGACGGAGATTGTAGGGGAACACATACGGATGATGATGGCAGTGCCGCGCGCTGCATCTTCCTGGCTCGCCCCTGCTGCGACTGCGGGCGGCAGGAGGAGGAGGAGGAGGAGGAGGAGGAGGATGAGGAGGAGGAGGAGGAGGAGGAGGAGGAGGAGGAGGAGGAGGAGGGGGGGGAAGGAGGGGCTAGGAGGAGGGGGGACGACATCGGCCGCCAAGGGCAGTGCCACGCGTCAAGTGGCTCTTTCCGGCGCTATGCGCCGTGTGATGCAGCAGTGCCGCGCGTTGACTGACAGCCTCCCTAGGGGACCGCGAGGGCTCGAATGGTGTCCGCCTGACTACTGTACCCAATGCGTTGGATTTCCTAGGAGCCCTCGACAGTGGCGACAGCTGCGCAGTTCGTAGCCACGCATGGGGGCCGCGGAGTCTCGCAGGGACGCGCGCGCTGGGCCTCCAAGGAGCCCACAGAGCTACCAACAGCTGCGCAGTTTGCAGCCCCCCAGGGAGGCGCAAGGTCTCGCAGGGGTCCGCGTGACTATCCGCTCCTCTGGACCTCCCTGGAGACGATGACAGCGGCGACAGTTTTGCAGTTCGCAGCCCCCCAGGGAGCCGCGAGGTCTCGCAGGGGTCTGCGTGACTACCCACCCTGGTGGACCTCCCAGGAGCCCACGGAAGAGGTGAAAGTTGCGCAGTTGGCAGCCCCACGGGGAGCCACGAGGTCACGCAGGGGTCCGCGTGATTACTGCACCTCCAAGGAGTCCACGAAAGTGTCGATAGTTGCGCACTTCGCTCCCAGGAGAGGCATTGGAGGCCTGGAAATGGGCACCAACACCAACACAGGGGGTTGCCTCCACAGGGGGAAGATGATCCTAGATTTCGGTGTTGGTGGTAATATTTCGGTCACCTTGGAAGCCAGAATATCATCACCATCACCGAGATCGGAATCTTCTTCCCTCGGTGGAGGCACACCGCCGATATTGGTGTTGGTGTCAATCTCTAGGCCTGTCAAGGCACCGACGAAGAACAGGAGGAGGCAGGGCGGGGGAGGAGGCGGGAGGAGGGACGACAGCCCAAACCAAGAAGGTTGGGTAAACCGTCCAGGACATGCCCCTCCCTCCCCTCGCCCACACGGAGCCTGGCTCGGGGCAGCGGTCGTCTCCCGGAGGAGCGCGCGGAGGACCTGCGGGAGGGCGGCCCGTGGCGCGACGTGTTTTCGCACTCCGCCCTGGAGACGTCGTGGTCGCCGCCTTCGCCGCCGCCGTCGTCGTCGTCGTCGTCGTTGTCGTCGTCGTCGTCGTCGTCGTCGTCGTGCCGTCGCCGCCGCCGTCGCCGCCGCCGCCGCCGTCGTCTTCGTAGTCGTCGTCGTCGTCGTCGTCGTCGTCGTCGTCGTCGTCGTCGCCGTCGCCGTCGCCGGGGCCGGGGCCGTCGCCGTCGCCGTCGCCGTCGCCGTCGCCGTCGCCGTCGCCGTCGCCGTCGCCGTCGCCGTCGCCGTCGCCGTTGCCGTTGCCGTTGCCGTCGCCGTCGCCGTCGCCGTCGCCGTCGCCGTTGCCTTCACCGTTGCCGTCTCCGTCGTCGTCGCCGTCGCCGTTGCCTTCACCGTTGCCGTCTCCGTCGCCGTCGCCGTCGCCGTCGCCGTCGAAGTTGTCGTCCCGTCAGCAGCGTCGTCGTCGTCGTCGTTGTCGTCGTTGTTGTCGTCGTCGTCGACGATCATCGATCCCCGCTTATAGAGAATACTTATTGTTGATATGTGCAAGCGTTTCTGGGCGCTCTCGCCACGACGCATGCGGAATTTTCTTTGAAACCGAGGCTCCCTCCCGCCCGAGAGCAGGCATGATTCTGAAGTAAATATTTGCCTGCCCGGCTACGACCTCACCTGCTCCCGCTCGATATTGCTTCGGAGTATACCCCACAATGGTCTGGCAAGAGAAGCCCCCAACTCAGGAGCTCGAGACTTCCTCGCAAGTCACTCAAGTTGGTGAGGTCCCAGCTGCGACGGCATTGGTTCTTCAATTTATTCCGAGTCGCCCTGGACTAGGAGGCATGCAAACTCAGGAACGTCGCTTTCGCTCGAGACACCTTCCGATTTCAGCCAAGTTGGAAGGGTGTGAGAGGAGGAGAAGCATCAGGAGGAGGGTGGAAAGGAGGCAGAGGTGGAGGTGGATGGGGTCTCTAGGTAGGGAAGGGGGCGAGAAGAGGGGGGAAGTGGAGTGGGAGCAGGTCGGGCCTAGCCGGGCCTGGCGCGCAGTCAGCACCCTTTCCCCGCAGGAGATCCGGGACGCGAGCCACATCCTCCCGCATGCGAGGGCCCAGCAGATGTATTACCACGGCACCAGGGGGTCATAATCTGCATTGTAACGGTGCATACGGTAGGTCCGTGTCGTCTTGGCGCGGCTGCGGCAGCGCGGGCGTGGTCGCTCAATGTTGAAGTCCCTCCCGCGATGACAGAAGCCAGAGCCGACACCGCCATGGCAGGAGCCCGCCGCGTGTTGATGATGGTGGTGGTGGTGCTGCTGCTGCTGCTGCTCGTCATCCTTGCAGTTGGCGGATAATGGGCAGATCGATTCCTGAGGAGCAACGGTGTCCTCATGGCCCCTCCCCCTCTTCCACATCCTCGTAGCTTTGCTCCCTGCTGCCCCTCGGGAGAGTCTCGTGCCCCCTCGTACGCACGCCGACTGTGGTAGACCGTGGCCAGCCTCCGACGTCATGATCTTCTGTCAAAGCGTGCCCTCCCCATAGCTATCAACCCCATGCCTAGGGACTTTTTTCCATCGCCCATCCATCGTTTTTGAATTGCCCCCTGGCCCGAAGCTGGCCCCCAGACGAGTCAAGCTACTTATGCGACTTTCTCTAGACGCCAGGAGCCTGGAGGTCTGGGCTCTGGGGGGCGTCGACGATACATCTGCACTGGTCTTGGCCATATCGGTCCTGGGCCCAGGGTCGGTCAATTCACGCGCCTTCTGGCCGAGCCATGGGCGGGCTTATGCACCGATCCTGAGCCCAGGATGGGCCTGGCTGGGGTCCGTGCTGGCATGCAGTCGGCGTTCTCCAATGGGCACTCGAACTTCGGGCCATACCTTGAGCTTCGCAGCCGCCGCCCCGGGGGCGCCACCCCAGCCGACGGCTCCAGACCGACTCCCAGCGCGGGCGCCAAAGAGCGTGGCCCCCCTCCCCCCCGACGCCGACGACGACGACGACGAGGGCGGCGACGCCGACGCCGCCGACGCCGACGACGCCGCCGCCGACGACGACGACGACGACGACGACGACGACGGCGGCGGCGGCGGCGGCGGCGGCGGCGGCGGCGCGCGTGGTTCTCCGACGAGACGGGGCGGACCCCCAGCGGGTGACCCCCGCTGGCGGTTTTTGCGGAGCGCAGGGCAGGGCTCCTCGGCAGGCATGGGCCCCGACGGCCGATGGCGCGGCTGGGCGCCCTTCGCCGACTGGTTCCGGTACGAGGTCATGGCCCGCCACGGGGGCTGGTGGCGCCCCCGCCGCCCGTCCAGTCCCCCCTCCCCTGGGGGGAAGCTCCTCCTCCTCCTCCTCCTCCTCCTCCTCCTCCCAAGCGGTGCGGTGACCACACCGTGTGGGGAATCAGTGGGGGCTCGGGTCGGGGTGATCGCACGCTGTTCGGGCTCGGGTCGTTCTCCGAGGAGGTCTCCGGCGGCTGAGGGCTCCAAGGTTCCAAAACCGTGCGGTGACGGACCGTGCGGTGAGATCTTCGGGTATCTTGAGGCCACCGCACGGTCTGTCACCGCACCGTGGGTACCCCCAAGAGGGAGGAGGGAGGAGGAGGGAGGAAAAAGAAGAGGATAATGAGGAGGAAGAGGAGGCTATGGACGGATGATCTTATTCAGATGTGCTCCTCTTGGGGCCGAGCGCACCTATGCCACCCAGCATCACCAACCACTGCAATCATCAGCTACTGCCCATGCCGACTTAGGCAGCTGTCTGCTCCTCATGCTCACGCCACAATGATATTACCCCCCGTTCCCCAGTCGCCATTCTCTGATGCCGTCCAGTATTTCGTCCTTACCTTACTCCGTTTGGCTATCTCCTTATGATGAAGGTGTTCACCAAGGTTGAGTATGGTAGTTTGGTTTGCTTCCCCCATCCCAATCACAGCACTCACTGTTTGTTCAGTGCCCTTGTACGCATATTTTTTGTTACTATGGCAGTGCCGCCTAAGCCGTTCTTGTTTCCCGCATGTACGCATCAGCGCAACAATCTTTGATGCTTACGTCTGGGCAGCGTAAGCAGGATGATGAGGACGAGGTGGCGGAGGAGGCGGAGGAGGATGAGGTGGACGTGGAGGGGGACGATGAGGAGGACTGAGGAGGAGCAGGAGGCGACGGAGCAGGAGCAAATCAGTACATGGGAAGGAGGTAGTGGTGGAGGGGCATCAGGAGGAAATGGAGGAGGATGGGGAGGAGGAGTAGGATGAGAAGGGTGCCGGGAGCGCTACGCGTTGTGTTCCGCGGCATCTCCCCCCTCTCCTGCATCCCTTTTTTTCTCCGCGTTGCTGCTGTTCCTCCTCTTCTTTTTACTCGAACGTTACCTTTCTATACCCTGCTTGGTTGTCCTGTTTTTTTTCCGCCACCATTTTTGGCTCTCAGGAGCTCCTTTCCTTGCCCGTTTCAGTCCTGTCTTGCCGTGTTCATACCGCGCTCGATATTGACACGTATCACATTATTATCCAGATCCTTCATTCTGATTTGATAGCGGAGCTTTTGCTCCGTTCCACTGCCGCCATGATGGCCCGCGTGGTTTTCTCTTCTCGCCCCGTGTCGATCGCGATCGCTGCCCATCCTCACCGTCTCAGTCAACCTCTTCAAGGACATCAGCCTCAAAGGCCCCGTGTTCGAACCCACCGAGCCTGGCGTGCTCGAGCTCGCCAAGCTCTCCATGCCCAGTCATTCAGCCCACCACCGGGCTGGATCGTGGTCGCGATGCTTCGCCCGTGCCACGCGACGGGGGCGCCGCACCTGTGGGTCTCCGAAAACATTGACTACACGGACCGCGGCCCCGCGCCGCCTCTCTCGGCGCTCACTCCTACGCTTGCCCAGACTATGTTTGAGCAGCTCGCGGACCCGGCGCTTTCATGGAATCCGCAAGTGGATGTCGCGCCGACGTCAGACAGTCGATTGACACAACGGTCACGTCTACTGAGTTGGCGAAGGGTCCCGAGCTCCCTGCGATTATGTTGCAGACATCCTGGGAGAAAGAGGCAGCGGACACGACGCCTCCATTGTATCCGTTTTTGGGTGTAGCTGAAGGTGTCAGGCAGTCGAGTCATCCGACGTTTACATCGCTGGCGTGGGCGAAGCGCCCCGAAACCCCGGTTGCAATGTTACCAGAGCCGGGGGGATTTAATCAGAGAAGAGCGATCAGATGATAGATGGTCTGGCGGTCTTGTCGTCAGATCTCTGGGAGGCCGCAAGGGGTAACACGCCGTCTCCGATCTCTCGGGACCTGACCTGCCGCGCTTCTCGCGCGCTCCCTGCTATCTGGCAGACCTGGTTCCCGACGCGTGCCCCTCTTGACTGTGTGCAGTTGGTCGTGCCCACCGCAGTGACGACGTGGCGCGCGACGAGCGTTGCCACGAGTACTTTGCGGGGCCCTCCGAGCGCCGACCGCGCCACAATTGCGCGACAGACAGCGTGCCCAATGCGCTGATGAGGAAGAGCATGCCCAGGACAGATGCCAAAATCGGCTTCGAGGTTCTCTTCCCGAGCGACGCCGCTGGCGGGTTCCAGGACTCCCGCGCCTCTTCGATGCGCGGAGGGGGCGCAGGCCATCGGAGTGGGAACGGTCGCTGCCGCCGGCTGAGTGGCCTCTATGAACGCGGGCGGTGGTGGTGGCGGCAACCTGCGGCGCTTCCGCGAGTGGGGGCCCGAGCAGCAAGCTCGCGTGCCCTTCCAGCGCTGTGTGCGGGAGGTCATGATTTGGTCAGTGGCGAGCTCCGGCTTCAACGAGTTCCGCCAGGCGGCCTATGTCTCGCCCCGCCTCGCCAGCATGGCGCGCGAGTGCGCGGGCGAGTGGCCGCCCGCTGTCTGGTCCAGTGGGGACACGCCACCAGCAACCCAATGCCGCCGACTTTTTTCCTGACGCGCAGTCTGGCCGAACGGTGGCGAGGAGGGGCCCGCTTCGGCTGCGTCGGCCCTGATGAACTTCAACAGGTTACTGCAGGGTCGCGTCGACGACCTCCTTGTCTGGCTCGACATCTCCCGCGACTGGGCGCAGTGGGCTGGTCAACTCATGACCGGCTGCGGGGGGCTGAGCTGCTTGTTGCTGCGCGCGGTGGACGTATCGAGCATGAAATTCGCCGTGATCTTGCAGCGCCGCGACATGGCCTGCCCTGCGAACGCTCAACAGTTGACGCACATGACAGGGCAGCTGTGACGGCTTGGGCATATGATCGAGGGCCCGCCGGGCAATCTCGCCGCCGCAGTTTACTTGGCCCAGCGCCGCGCGATCCTCGCGGGTTCGCCCGTGCAAGATCAGGCTCGTAGTGCCGATGGGGTGGCATGGGCCTCCCTGCCTTGCAGCTGCCGCCGCTGCCAGCCCGGGCGTGGCGTCCTCGGCGCAGGTGGCGCGCCCAGTAGCATGTGTCGACTCGCCCGCTGGCGCCGACGCCATCAGTTCATTTGGCGAGGAGATTGCGGCCGACGGTCCCGAGCTACGCGACGTTCTAGTGCAACGACGCGGTGCGCCCTTTCTTAGGCCTACAAACGCGCCAAGTAATAATGGCGCAGCATTCAGAACCACAAGCCCACGCGCCGCTTCTGGAGGGCGATCAGACGCCAGGTCATAGGCCGCGGTAAGGGCTACGGCGCCTTCCCGGCCGACGTGTCCGAGAACGAACCGGGGAAATTTTCCCTGGCTTCGGGAAGGGCACGGGTCAGGGGAAAGGGGCGTTCAGGACCTGTGGCGTGCGTTCAGGCCGCCCAAGCAATCCACTTGGCCTTGACAGGGTGCGTCTCCTTTCCCACGAGTGCGACTCCGAGGAGTACCTCGTGCGCGATTGCCCCCGGCGCCGCCAGCAAGGTCGCACTCTTTTCCCCAGCGCCCCAGCATCAGCAGCATCGTCACTACCACCCCCTTCGCTCTTGTTTCGTCCACTCCCTCATCTGAACCATCTGGGTCCTTCCAACATGATGCCCCCGCTTGCGCTTTGCTCCAATCGTTCAACACGACACCCCAACGCGGGCCACGTTTTTGGATCCGAGAGCTTCCTCGCCTTTGTCGTCCCCTTCATTATCCTTCCCCCGCTTTCCCCTTCCTCTTCTCCTGCTCCTTCTGCTGCAGTTCCTCCTCGTCTTCCTCCTTCTCTCATCCTTCTCGCTTTCCTCCTGCGCCTCTCCATGCTCATCCGCCACTTCCTTGCCCAATGTACATTATTTTGCATATTGCGCGCAACGTGGCAGGGGGCTTTCTGGGTGTCCCAAGGCCGCTATAACACCCGTTTGCGGATAAAAACAACCAGCGCAGGATATCATGTCGGATGTAGCGCGAGCGCACTTCACTTGCCCTCCTTCCCTCTCCTTTTTTTCCGCCGCCTTCTCAGCCCCCCCCAGACTGTGAGGTCAGGAAACTCTGAGGGAGCTCCTCAGCCACCTTAGCCACCTCAGCCTCCTTCTCGGATTCCTCCTTCCCTGCCTCCTCACTTTGCTCTTGCTCCTCCCCCTCCCCTTCCTCCTCCTCCTCCTCCTCCTCCTCATTCCCCTCCTCCTCCTCCTCCTCCTCCTCCTCCTCCTCTTCCTCCTCCTCCTCCTCCTCCTCCTCCTCCTCCTCCTCCTCCTCCTCCTCCTCCTCCTCCTCCTCCTCCTCCTCCCCCCCTCCTTCTCCCTCGTCCCCTGTTCCCCTGCTCCTCTTCTCTTTTCCTTTTGTTTATTCGGCGGACACGGGGGAGGAGGGTGGAGATTGTGGGTTGGAGAGTGGATGAGGATGATGCTGATGATGGTGGGTTGGACTGGCCAGAGGCCCGGTATTCCCGAGCACCCCAAGCTTGAGGCAGAAACGTCCAGGATCGATAAGCATAGTTTCCATAAGCTTCTTGTTGATTTGAACGTCTGTTCCATCAGGTGGGTCGATGCCGACAGCATCAGCGTGCGCAACCTGGCCCGCCTGACGGACGGACCGCCACTGGCCCCCATCTCTGGGGCCCCAGGATGCACGCCATCAGTGCCCACTCCAGGGAACGGATACGAGCCCCCTTTCCCTCGCAGGAAGGGGGAGAGAAAGAGGAGGACGAAGGGGGTAAGGAAGAGGGGGGAGGAATGCACTGCCTCTCGTCTTCAGGCTCCGAGGTCCTCCCGCTCCTCATCTCTTCTCCTTCTCCTCTTACTCCTCATCATCATCAAGTCTCTCCTCTTTCACCGCCTTCTCCTCCTCTCGAGCAGGAAGATGAAACAGAGGTTGAGTTGGAGGAGGAGGACGAGGAGGACGAGGAGGAGGAGGAGGAGGAGGAGGAGGAGGAGGAGGAGGAGGCAGAGGAGGCAGAGGAGGAGGAAAAGGAGCAGGAGGAGGAGGAGGAGGGGGAGGGGGAGGAGGAGGAGCAGGAGGAGAAGGAGGAGGAGAGTGACGGGGATGGGAACTGGGGATGAGGAGGATGAGGAGGCGGGGAAGGATAGCTGATGGGGTGAGGGGAAGGAGGAGGGGGCAGGGGGGGAATGAGGAGAGCCCCAAATTCGTACGCCTTGTTTTTTCGAGCCAGTGGCCCCTGGATCTCTCGTCCTGGGGCAGCGACTTCACTCCGCAAAAGCGTTTGCGCCGAGGGCTTCTCGTTTCTCTGTGCCGCAATTCGGTGGGCTCTCGTACTTTCGCCAGGTGGGCTCCCGCGTTCGCCTCGTGGGCGCCCCGCGTGGTGGCTGGGCCCTCAGGGTTCTCGCCCCGTGGGGACCCGTGGGCGGCCTCGCGGCTGCCCCATGCGTTTGGTCGAGTCTGCGCGTTTTCGCCTTTGGGCGTCTCGTGCGCGCCTAGTGCGCTGGCTGGGTTCTCCGGGTTTTCGGCTGCTGGGCGCCCGTGGGCGCCTCGCCGTGCCCTGGCCTCACCGTAGCGTGCAACCAGCGTATTGCGCGGCGCGGAGGGTACCACGTGGCTTTCGCCACGTGTATTGCGATCCGCTCTACAGGATCGCATCGCAGAGCTTCCTTCAGGGAGCTTGCACCGCATAGCTTGCACCGCACTGATTCTGCTTCCAAGAGGAAATTTGATACACCACCCTCCCGATACTGGACTTGTCGGGACGCCCTGGGACCTTTCAAATTACACAAGATCCTGCCCAATCGTTTTTTCCCAACCATCCTGTGGTGTTGGGTCCTCGTTTTGAAGAGACAGCGCCCCGCGTTCACTCCTTCCTTCCTTCCTCCCGCTGCCCCCTCCCTCGTCACCGCACCCATTTCGGCACACCCCTCACACGTTTCGTGGCCCCATACGGAGCTCCACCGAGGGCCCCAGTGGCTGCGTTGGCATGGCGGCACCGCCCCACACACCCTTCACACGTTCGTGGCCCCATAGGGAGCTCCACCGAGGGCCCCAGTGGCTGCGTTGGCATGGCGGCACCGCACCCATTTCGGCACACCCCTCACACGTTTCGTGGCCCCATAGGGAGCTCCACCGAGGGCCCAGTGGCTGCGTTGGCATGGCGGCGCCGCACCCATTTCGGCACACCCCTCACACGTTTCGTGGCCCCATAGGGAGCTCCACCGAGGGCCCCAGTGGCTGCGTTGGCATGGCGGCACCGCACCCATTTCGGCACATCCCTCACACGTTTCGTGCCCCCACAGGGAGCTCCACCGAGGGCCCCAGTGGCTGCGTTGGCATGGCGGCACCGCACCCATTTCGGCACAACCCTCACACGTTTTGTAGCTCCATAGGGAACTCCACCGAGGGCCCCAGTGGCTGTGTTGGCATGGCGGCGCCGCACCCATTTCGGCACACCCCTCACACGTTTCGTGGCCCCATAGGGAGCCCCGCCGAGGGCTCCAATTGCTGCGTTGGCATGGCGGCACCGCGCCCATTTCGGCACACCCCTCACACGTTTCGTGGCCCCATAGGGAGCTCCACCGAGGGCCCCAGTGGCTGCGTTGAGATGGCGGCACAGCACCCACTTCGGCATACCCCGCACACGTTTCGTGGCCCCATAGGGAGCTCCACCGAGGGCCCCAGTGGCTGCGTTGGCATGGCGGCACCGCACCCATTTCGGCACACCCCTCACACGTTTCGTGGCCCCATAGGGAGCTAACACGTTTCGTGGCCACCGTAGGGAGCTCCACCGGGCCCCAGTGGCTGCGTTGGCATGGCGGCACCGCACCCATTTCGGCACACCCCTCACACGTTTCGTGGCCCCATAGGGAGCTCCACCGAAGGCCCCAGTGGCTGCGTTGGCATCGCACCCATTTCGGCACACCCCTCACACGTTTCGTGGCCTCATAGGGAGCTCCACCGAGGGCCCCAGTGGCTGCGTTGGCATGGCGGCCCGCACCCATTTCGGCACACCCCTCACACGTTTCGTGGACCCATAGGGAGCTCCACTGACGGCCCCAGTGGCTGCGTTGGCATGGCGGCGCCGCGCCCATTTCGGCACACCCCTCACACGTTTCGTGGCCCCATACGGAGCTCCACCGAGGGCCCTAGTGGCTGCGTTGGCATGGCGGCACCGCACCCATTTCGGCACACCCATCACACGTTTCGTGGCCCCATAGGGAGCTCCACCGAGGGCCCCAGTGGCTGCGCTGGCATGGCGGCACCGCACCCATTTCGGCACACCCCTCACACGTTTCGTGGCCCCATAGGGAGCTCCACCGAGGGCCCCAGTGGCTGCGCTGGCATGGCGGCACCGCACCCATTTCGGCACACCCCTCACACGTTTCGTGGCCCCATAGGGAGCTCCACCGAAAGTCCCCAGTGCTACCGCCCTCACGCGTCCCGTACGCCCAGGACAGCGTTTCGTGGCACGCCTTTCGTGGCCCCATAAGGAGCCCCACCGAAAGCGGTACCCACAAAGCGTTATTCACAATTGCATATGGTTGGGTCTTTCGCCAGGATAAGTTCGTTGTGACATCATATGATCCCAGGCCGGCGGGTATCGACTCCCCCATCCCTGCCAGCTGATACCATGTGCGCGCATTCGGTTATCTCAAAAAATATGCTCAATACTCCTTGGCAAAAACGGCACACAGTCCACACGCGAGCCCATGTCAACAGCATGCCATAAGACGTCAGACAGAAGACACCCTTCGTTCTGCAAGCGTTACAACATCAGGCACGAGACGCCCATCGTTTTCCACCACAACTCTTTCATATTGTATGCCCGCACGAACTTGCAAGCGTCATTGTTAGCTACACGACTCCAGCAATCTAGTCCCGAACCCGCATTCTCATTTGACAACGCGTTGCATCTGCGATGGTCTAACATACGCCCATTGCACGGATCCGTATCACATAAAACCGTGCGGGCCACCAGCGCGCCCCGCCACGCGCGGGTATCGGAATCCTGATAAACTATGTTTTTTTCCCAACCATCCTGTGGTGTTGGGTCCTCGTTTTGAAGAGACGGTACCCCGCGTCTCCTCTCCTCTCCCCTCCTTCCTTCCTCCTCCTCCGCCTCCTCCCCCCTCCCCCTCCGCGTCAGCCACACCCATTTCGGCACGCACCTCACACGTTTCGTGGCCCCATAAGGGGGCTCCACCGAGGGCCCCAGTGGCTGCGTTCGCATGGCGGCACCGCACCCATTTCGGCACACCCTTCACACGTTTCGTGGCCCCATAGGGAGGTCCACCGAGGGCCCCCGTGGCTGCGTTCGCATGGCGGCACCGCACCCATTTCGGCACACCCCTCATACGTTTCGTGGCCCCATAGGGAACTCTACCGAAGGCCCCACTGGCTGCGTTGGCATGGCGGCACCGCACCCATTTCGGCACACCCCTCACACGTTTCGTGGCCCCGTAAGGAGCTCCACCGAGGGTCCCAGTGGCTGCGTTCGCATGGCGGCACCGCACCCATTTCGGCACACCCCTTACACGTTTCGTGGCCCCATAGGGAGCCCCACCGAGGGCCCCACTGGCTGCGTTCGCATGGCGGCCCCACCCCCCCACTGGCGCCCATTTCGGCACACCTTCACACGCTTCGTGGCCCCATAGGGAGCTCCACCGAAGGGCCCCAATGGCTGCGTTCGCATGGCGGCACCGCAGGTCGTTCGTCACAACCCTTACACGTTCGTGGCCCATGGGAGCCCCACCGAGAGGCCCAATGGCTGCTTCGCATGCGGCACCGCCCCCATTTCGGCACACCCCTTCACACGCTTCGTGGCCCCATAGGGAGCTCCACCGGAAGGCCCCAATGGGCTGCGTTTCGCATGGCGCACCGCAATGTTTCGCACCCCCTCACACGTTTCGTGGCCCCATGGGGAGCCCCACCGAGGGCCCCAATGGCTGCGTTCGCATGGCGGCACCGCACCCATTTCGGCACACCCCTCACACGCTTCGTGGCCCCATACGGAGCCCCACCGAGGGCTCCAGTGGCTGCGTTCGCATGGCGACACCGCGCCCATTTCGGTACACCCCTCACACGCTTCGTGGCCCCATAGGGAGTTCCACCGGGGGCCCCAGCGGCTGCGTTCGCATGGCAGCACCGCACCCATTTCGGCACACCCCTCACACGCTTCGTGGCCTCATAAGGAGCTCCACCGAAGGCCCCAGTGGCTGCGTTCGCATGGCGGCACCGCACCCATTTCGGCACATCCCTCACACGTTTCGTGGCCCCATACGGAGCTCCACCGAGGGCCCCCGTGGCTGCGTTCGCATGGCGGCACCGCGCCCATTTCGGCACACCCCTCACACGTTTCGTGGCACCATAGGGGACTCCACCGAGGGCCTCGATGGCTGCGTTCGCATGGCGGCACCGCACCCATTTCGGCACACCCCTCACACGTTTCGTGGCCCCATAAGGAGCTCCACCGAGGGCCCCAATGGCTGCGTTCGCATGGCGGCACCGCGCCCATGTCGGCACACCCCTACACGCTTCGTGGCCCCATAGGGAGCTCCACCGAGGGCCCCACTGGCTGCGTTCGCATGGCGGCACCGCGCCCATTTCGGCACACCCCTCACACGTTTCGTGGCCCCATACGGAGCTCCACCGAGGGCCCCAGTGGCTGCGTTCGC